TCTTGTTGCTCTGGTCGTTTTAGCCCAACGTGGAAAGAAACGATCGGTGCAGTGTAATTCATTCTGCTTTGGTGACCTTCGCCCAACGTGGAAAGAGGCCGCCGAAGCAGACATTGCAGAAGATAGTGCTACCACCACAAATACTACAAGTCCAACTATAGTCACAGTCAACTTAGATTTGTTTCGTGCAGCTATGGCGGTGCAAAAACTTGCTAATGGTTGGCGCGCCCGCCGTAAGAAGGACGGCAAGACGTTGAACGGACCGCTGCGCGCGACTGAAGTGGCCGCAAACGAAGATGCGCGGCAAATGGAGGAAGCAGCAGCCGTCTCCAGTGAACGCTTGCAAGAAGTTTTTGATAGACTATTGGGCTCGCTTTCTGCCCCGGACACGACCGCTGGACCGTCCGTGACCCAACATGGTTCCAATTGGCGTGCTCGTGTGAAAGTCGGCCGAGCAACTGTCAATGGTCCGACACGGCAGGCCAAAGCAGCTGCCGAAGAGGATGCGCGTTTGCTTCAGCAAGCGCAGCAAACGTCGACCACAGAGGTGCAGAAAGTGGCCCAACGGTTGCACGAAGATGCTGCAGGCGTGCGTGCTGCGGCGTCTGTCACCAAACATGGTTCAGGCTGGCGTGCCCGTGTCAGGAACCATGAGACAAGTGCTCCTACCAAATCATCTAAAGCAGTTGCTGAAGCTGATGCCCGTCAGCTGCAGGCTGCGTTGGAGATCTCGACTGAAGAGCTTCAGATGGTGGCTCAGCGGCTGCAGCAGGAGGCTGCTGATGCAGTCGCAAGGAGTAGCCGCGAAGCTCAGTTTGACGACGTCATTTTGACTGAGATGCGTGATGCATTGGGACTGCAGCGGCAGCAGAAGCGAGCCAGGCTGCGTGCGAAAAATGTCGCGGATGATTTCGACCCTGAGCTGGCCTCGAAGAGTGTGCAGCTTTTGGTCTCTGCTTTTCAGGATGTGGAAGCATTAGCACCCCGCAGCGAAGGTTCGTGGATGGTGGAATTGGGCTTTCACACTAGACTCGATTATGGCTCTCGGCCCGCATGGACAAGTGGCTTGGAGCGCGGCACGGCGCATGCTGGCTTGAAGAATTTAGGGAACAGCTGCTGGCTCAATGCCGTGTTGCAGTGTTTTCGGTGGACTCGCTCGCTGCACAATGCTTTCACTGCTCGGTTGATGGAATGCGAAGAATCGATTCTGGGATCGTTGGTGCAAGATGTTTTGCAGAAGCTTGCAAGCGACGACTGGGACTACGTTGCACCATTTGCTTTGCTCAATCAGCTGTATGCAACCTACCAAGGAAGATTTCGACCTGGTGAGAGCGCAGATGCAGCAGAAGCCTGTCGCTTGCTGTTAGACCGGTGTGTCTACGGCAGTGATATTGTACATTTACTGCCTACATCCATTGCACTCGCTCGGCGCGGCGTCACTCTCACGGAGTTGACGCGTGAGCATTTTGCAACATGCCGGCCGAGCAGTGATGTTGTCATTTTGGAAGTGCCGCCCGTCGATGGCGGCCGGATGAATTGGTCGCAGTTGTTGGTGACACCGCCCGCTGGTGAGGCGCCTGCCACGAAACGGTGTGGTTCATTTTTGTGCTGATAATGTTTAAGTTTGTTTGTGTCTGTCTCATGATCGCTGCATGTTAAGTTGTTGCGTTGTGCTTTCCTCAGGGCAACAACTACCTCTACACCGTTTCCGGCTTTGTGGCGCATGTCTCTGGAGATCATTTTGTGGCGTATGTGCGCGCCCACAACCAATGGCTACTATGCAATGATGCAACGGTCAGTGTCGTCTCTGTTCTGGGACCTGTTTGGCCTTGTCTGATTGTTTTGGAGAGATTACGCCGGCAGCAGCTGGCGCGGCCTGCGCGCCAGGCGCCGCCTGCGGGCAGCGACTGCCTCCGTCGCTTGCCGCGGTTGTTGCAGGAAACTGTGGCGCCTGGGCCTGATGCTCCTGGGCCGCGTGCGGCGGGAGCGCCGCCTGGGACTGCTGCTGCCAGGGCTGTTGGCTCGCGCCTTGGGCGCTTTGCAGCGGCGCTGCAGCGCAAGCGTCGAGAAGCCGGTCGCGCTCGTGCAGGTCAGCTCGGATGGGAGCGTTCTATTGCTCATTGCATCCAATCGAGTAAGACCGAGATTTGCCAACGATGGGTTTCATTGATCTGATCATCTGATAATTTTGACGGCAATAGTTTGTGGCTCTATGGTAGTTCAGGTTCCCATAGCTTGTGTCTTGCGATTGATTTGCATGTGCAGGCCGGAAGCAACAGCGCGCAGGCTCAACAGAAGTGTTGGGACTTTTCTTCCGTGAATTTCATGGTACTCATGTCATGAAAGTCTATAGAACCAGAATGCGGAAAGAGTGATGATGAGTGTCATTGACATGATTACGTTTCAATTCTGAGTAAAATGAGTAAGATTGATTTCCCCAGCGATAAAGATAGGTTTCATTGATCTGATCATCTGATAATTGTGATGGGAATAGCTTGTGGCTCTATCATAGTTCAGGTTCCCCTAGCAAGTGTTTTGCGATTGATTTGCATGTGCAGGCCGGAAGCAACAGCGCGCAGGCCGGAAACACTATCATAGTTCAGGTTCCCCTAGCAAGTGTTTTGCGATTGATTTGCATGTGCAGGCCGGAAGCAACAGCGCGCAGCCCGGAAGCAACAGCGCGCAGCCCGGAAGCAACAGCGCGCAGGCTCAACAGAAGTGTTGGGACTTTTCTTCCTTGAATTTCATGGTACTCATGTCATGAAAGTCTATAGAACCAGAATGCGGGAAGAGTGATGATGAGTGTCATTGACATGATTACGTTTCAATTCTGAGTAAAATGAGTAAGATTGATTTCCCCAGCGATAAAGATAGGTTTCATTGATCTGATCATCTGATAATTTTGATGGGAATAGCTTGTGGCTCTATCATAGTTCAGGTTCCCCTAGCAAGTGTTTTGCGATTGATTTGCATGTGCAGGCCGGAAGCAACAGCGCGCAGGCTGCAAGCAACAGCGCGCAGGCTCAACAGAAGTGTTGGGACTTTTCTTCCGTGAATTTCATGGTACTCATGTCATGAAAGTCGATGTTCCCATGGCAAGTGTCTTGCGATTGTTTTGCATGTGCAGGCCGGACGCAACAGCGCGCAGGCTCAACAGAAGTGTTGGGACTTTTCGTCTATCGAACCACAATGCGGTAAGAGTGCTGATGAGTGTCATTGACATGATTATGTTTCAATTCTGAGTAAAAAGAGTAAGATTGATTTCGATTGTGATAAAGCTAGGTTTCAGCTGTTAATTTTGATGGGAAAAACTTGTGGTTCTATCGTAGATCCGGGTCCCATAGCAAGAGTCTTGCGATTGATTCGCATGTGCAGGCCGGCAGCAACAGCGCGCAGGCTGAACAGACGTGTTGGAACTGTTTCCTTCCGTTTATTTGAGTTACTTATGCGGAACTAGTCATGACGATTGTTTCCTTATAAGACTGTCTGACTCATGGTTGACTCAATGTGGGAAGACTGTGGTCGCGACGATAAGTGGGAAGACATGGCACAAACCTCGTCACAAGATCTTGATCACAAGATGTGAAATTAATGTTGCAGATCCGCGCAACAGTTTCTTTGTGAGTCACATCAGTATGACTGAAATCTGTGTTGCTCGCGCAGGCGCAACGGAGAAGGACGACCGTGCAGGTCGTACCCGAGAGAGCCGTGCAAGGCAGTCCAAAGCTTTTGGTGGCAATGGATCTTCCAATATGACTGGTTCACGAGATGACAAGTGGGCTGACGAGGACAATCCGTTCCTCAGATTCAAAGAGAATCATGCCCTGCACCGCACGCGGGAGACTGAAGCGTTGCGGGTCTGGCCGATGGAGGCACTGGTCATGCCTTGTCAACCATGTCATTTGTGCGATGCTGGCTTTGATGATCGCGCGAGTCTACTGGAGCACATTGTCAAAGAGCATGGTGGTTTGCAGAAATATCGGAATGCTATGCTATGCTTGCAATCGTTGTGCCCGCATGTCGTAGTTGGCAGTGAAGTGCGGTACTATGTCAGCAACTACAGCACTTTTCTTCGGCATGCCAGCATGGATTGGGAAGGGCCACATCTGACCGACCTCCGCGGCGGGCGCGGGTGCGCATTTTGCGCCCGATGGTTTTGGTCGGAGGAGATGTGGCCCGTGCAGCTCGCAGGTGAGCAATGCTTCATGCAGAACTCACCTGCCGTTTGGACGCTGTTGTCTGTGGATCGATACCACCAACGCTGGCCGAAGATCCCTCTGACAGAGCTGCAAGCGTCCGGCGTCCAAGTTTGCTGCCCTGACGGTTCCTCGCAGTTGGTTCTGCTACACAAACGGCAAGTGTCCGCAGCTGCGGCACGCGGCCAGGAACCCGTCCATGTGTGCAGCGATTGCCATCAAGCATTCGCTCCGAAGAAGCCGCGCCTCTGCAAGTTTGCTCTCGCGAACGATCTCTGGCTGGGACGCATCGATCCATTGCTGTGGGATGCCAACATGACCCACGAGATGTGTTTAGCTCTTGCCCGCACCGTTGCCACAAAAGTGGTGCTTCGAGCTGGTGGTGCGCAAACGGCACAGGCGACCACCGAGCGGCAATGGGACCACGTTTACCAGCAGACTGGTTACGTGGGTTCCTCGGTGCTCTTCCACAATGGCGACGCCAAGCACGCTCTTCAGTCTCTGCCTCCTGAGAAGCTCAACGACGCATTGGCCATTACGTTCTGCACCGATCTGCCTGTCGAAGATGATGTTGATCATGGCCGTGAAGCAATCCGGAAGATCGTGCAGCTCCGTTTGCGGAAAGATCGTTTTCTCCAGCAAGCTCAAGTTCTACAGGACACAAATGTGGTGTATGCTGGAGGAGTGACGCAGATCGACAGCGAACGCTTGACTGCATGGCTTGGTGGCGAAGATGATGTTGTTCCGCCGGTTGTTCTGGATTGTGTTTTGACCGTGCCAGTTGGTCGCGATGGGCCGGGCACCATGCGGCAAGAAGGGCCCGCCCAGGCCACTGACGGTCACGTCTCGTGCAGTCAAGATGAAGTTGTCTTTGCGACGGAGCCGGAAGTGAAGGACTTCAATGACGACGAGACTGATGTGTCCAGTCGTGTCGCAATCATGTTGCAGAAACTGGAAGAGTTGGAAGCGGCTGGTGCCCGTTCTGTTGCCGTTGAGATGGCGTCGTTGATGGAAGATGATGCGGTGTTGCTGGATCATTTAGGCCGCAGAAGAATTCAGAAACTTTGTGATGAGATTCAAGAGACCTGCCGCAAGTTGTCCACTCAAGACATGCGTCGCAAATTGGAGGTGGAGCTTCGTGATGCTGTGATGGGCAAATCCCCTTGGCTATTACCTGAAGAAAATGCACCAGAAGAGCAGTCACAGACATACGAAGCGCAACACCTCATGGTTGCTCGTGACAAGAAGCCACTTAGTCTCTTCGATTGGAAGATTTGGAGCATGGCCAAACCTCGGCTCTGGCGGTATGGTGACGCTTCGAATCTGTTTGACCGCGAAGAACCTCTGTCGACTGCAGAATGGACGGCGTGTATGCTACGGCGTGAGGACGTGGGCGGTTGAATTGTTTGTTTGTGATTGTTTGGGGTTTGCGGGTGATGATAAAGTCAATTTTCTGTTTCCGTTTGCATTTTAGTTTCAGCAAATCAGGAGATGGTGTATTCTCTGGACAGTGATGAGACTCCATACACGGCCCCTGTCAAGAATCGATTTACAGGAGATTGGGTGGCTTTGCACATGATGTCAACCATTTGTCGTCTGACCGATCAACGCAATGCTTCGTACAACTTTTTGAAAAATGGTGGTATGGCTTTCGCGAAGAACCTGCAAGAGTTGCGAGCATCAGATTTAGCACTTGCTGCCAGAGTGGTTGAACCAACGTGGGGTGACTCTCTGCAGCAAGTGCTGAAGAATGATGCTGTGCCTCGGAAGGTCAAAGCTTGCTTCGAGGCGATGCAGGCTGCGTCCGCCAATGTTGTCGGCACAGATGGACATCGTAGACATTGTCGCCACGAAGGGTGGGCTTACATGGAGATGTTTGGTCCTCCGTTGGTTTTCTTGACGCCGAATATTGCAGACACTCAGCATCCTTTGCTCTTGGTCATTCAAGGAGAAACAGTGGATCTGGGCGGAGTGGCAGCTGACATGCCAGAGACGCTGCCGAAGTACCGGGATATGATGCGGCGCCTTGCCCAAGATCCGGTCGCCCAGACTCTGCAATTCGAGTTTCTGATGCGTTTGTTCCTGCAGCACGTGCTGAACGTTCGCCCCGAGACGTTGGATTGTCGCCGCGGCGGTGTGCGCGCGTTTGCGCGAGAGTGGTGCAGCGATGGGGCGGCCGCTGCATCCACGGGCGCCGGCATGTTGGGCCCGGTCGCCGCTTTCCGCGGCGAAATCGAAGCCCAAGGGCGCGGCTCCTTGCATCCGCATGTTCTGGTCTGGTTACTATGCGGTCATTTGGATGTTATGGGACAGCTCGCAGATCTTTTGAAGCACAACAAAGTGGAACTCCAACTACGTTTGAAGCATTTTATGCAAATGGTAGTTGCCAGTTTCGAGTCTTTGTCGCAAGCCTCCGTGCAAGCGGCGCCACGCCTCTTCGACGGCAACTCCATGTCGAAGAGCGTTGGCATCAGTCAAGTGGCCCGCAACCTGTCGAAGTACGACGGCGGCAGTGATTTGATCTTGCTGCGAGAAATGCCGGAGCTGACAACCGAACAGCAGCAGTACTTGGAGTCCGCTGCAGAAGCTGACTGGAGACGGCCGCTGGTGCCGGTGGATGATGGCTCAGGTTTGTTGCCCAATATTTTCAGTCAGCCAATCAACAACTTGGCGGTGGCGCAAACACCGCAGTATCGGCTGCGCAGTGTACTCTGCGCAGCCGATACTGCGGACATTGACGCCGCAGCGTGGCAGCTCGCATTTGCAGAGGCAGGGCATCGATGGAAAAGATTTGATTAGAGTCGTGCCATATAATGGTTTTGTTAAGAATGGCATGTGTTGAGATTTGTTGCTCGAGTGCGTAATGCTGTTCAGGACTTGCATAGTCTGATGCCGACGCTGCTACGGCATGCCTGCAGCGAATCGTGCTACAAATATTCTGATGCGAGCTCCGTGCGCTTCAAGATCTGCAGGCATGGCTTCTACCACGTGGTGAATGTCTTCGAAGGTTGTCGTGTGCGACGCAAGGGCAAGGCATTGCGTCCAAGCATTCACATTGGATCAGAAGCAGAAGCTGATTACGGCATGCAAGGTCGCATGCGCCCTATTCAGCTGACGCCTTTCGAGTGTCAGACTTGTTATGGCGGCTTGGTCGCCGGTCGTCACAACTTGGATTTGCAAGATATGAGGCGTGTGCTTGATCCTGCACTGTGGTTAGATTCCGACGAGCATTTGCCCCATGTTGGCTTCACTGATTCCTTGGGTTACATGGCTTGGTATGAATGGAATGGCAAAGCTTATGAGGTTCGTTCTGACGCGCCGACTACTGCAGTGTCATGGTTAAGTCGCAGAGATTGGGCGCCAGACTTTCGATCTGCTTGGCTGACGGCTCATCAACAATTCATGGAGAAAGAAGGCGAGCCTGTCACCAGCGACGCACAAGATGAGGACGCGCCAATGCCGCCAGCAGAAGACCAAGAACAAGATGTGCGCATGGCAAACGCGGAAGACACAGACGATGCCACCGCTGAACTCACACGAGCCATCCGCTGCGGTATCAGTGAAGCATTCTGTGATGGCATCAACAGCGGCTTCTACATCAACAGCTATACCACCAAGCCTGGACCTGGTTTAGCTGGTATGTTGGAAGAGCTCCAAAAAGGACTGCAGAAAGTTGTATATTGTTTTGGAACTTTCTGTTTTCCCTGTATGCATTCATAGAGAAGATGTTTTGTTTTTTAGTTCGATGTTGCTGTTGCTGTTGCTGTTGCTGTTTTTGTTGTTGTTGTTGTTGCTGTTGTTGTCTTTAGGTTGGAACGTTGACTCAATGTGAGAAGACGTCTTTTTGTTGCTGGTGATGTTGTAGTGCGGGCCACGTTGCAACGTTAACTCAATGTGAGAAGACGTCTGCCACGCATCCTCCATATATATATGTGTGTGTGTGGTGACATATGCATGTCCGAACACGTCTTCTTGTTGCGCAAGCATTGAGCGATTGGAGAATGAACGGCAGGAGCGCGAACAAGACCGTGAGAAGCAGGCAGAAGCTGCGCGCGCGGCTGGAGAGCATGTTGCAGGCAGACGTGGTGTGCTTTTTGCCGAAACATTGAAGACATTGTCTCGCCTGTCGTCTTCCTATCGTCGATGTCATTGGAAAAGTGCCAGTGAACTCATCTTCCCTTTGTTGTTTCAGCACATGACCTTTGCGTCGCATCGCACCTGGAAGCTATATGTGAAAAAGGCAATTTTTTTCGCTGTGGAAGCTTGGAGGCAGCAGTATGGCGAGAGTGTTTTGCGACCGAAGGAGAATCTGGATGTTGCTTCTGATCCAGTGGTGTTTCGTCGCGATGGCCTTGATCCAGTGACCTTGGTTGGTTGGAAGAAGGTTGCACGCGTAGACCAAGAAACTGGTGAGAGTGTCTATGTTTATGTTGGTCCTCATGGGCAAAATTGTGCTGATTTGGACGAAGCATTTGCTGTGTACGATTCATCGGTTGATTTGGACAGAGGTGGTCCAGGGAAAAAGGCCCAACAAAAATTGACATTCATAGAAGAACTGTTAAAGATTCACCAGGTGACAGAAACCGTGGCACGAGACGACACTGAATCGGGTGAGGCCACCAACTTGAGAGCTTTGCAAGCTACTGGAGAAGATGTTGCTGTTCTTGAGGGATCATCTTTGTTGAAGTCATCGAGGCCGTTGGCAGTGACTACAAGCAGTCTGGAGGATTATCTGTTTCGTGGGTCACATCCTTTGCTTGCAGGCCAGATGGGTCTTTTCTTGTTCTTTTTTGTGTTTTTTTTGCACGAGTAGTTTTTGGAGTTTGCATCAAAGTTTCGAAGTAGGAAGGTGTTACACTGTGTGTTTTCGTCGTCGCAGGATTGAGTTGGTCAACATACGGTATGTGGGTCTACCGCATCGAGTTGCCGCCGCGCGCAGAGCGGTCGGTTCGAGCAGCCATACCTCGTTATGTTGATGTGTACTTCGACCCAGCCTACAAGTTGTACCAGACTCATGCCCAACGCATCAGTACTGAGCCTCGTGTTCCTATGTTTGAAGGCTTCACAATGCCTCCGTTGACTTTGGACTCTGAGCGCAACGCTATGTACAAACAGGTGCAATGTCGTCCTACCGCAATCCTTGCCGACGAGAACGTCGAGCAGGATGCGGAGACATTGGTGTTGGAAGCTTTTAAGCACTATTCCACACCAAAAAAACGCGTCCCTGGAGAGGATATGTCGGAAACGGCTGCCGTTGCCTTCACCCGATCTTTGCTTGAATGGCAGGATGACATGAAACGAGAAGCAACGATCGCCAGATACCGCTTTGCTGCCCGTCAACAATATCCGTCTTTATGGGAGACAGCTGAAATGGTTGCTTTGCTGGAAGAGAAGTTGAGTTTGGCGACAGGCACCACAGTGACAACTCCAGACACAGACCCTGATCGGTTGAAGCCACGGTGCACTGCAGCACAATATTCTTCTATGTTGGCCGAAAGTCGTATTGCGCATCTGGAGGGATTGGCGCGAGCCAGGCAACAGAAACCGAAGCGGCGCCGCGACACTGATGCGCGGCTCTATGAAGAGTATGTGAAGATCACCACGGCTGGAGAGAAGGACGACGATGAGGCTGCTGACAATCCAGAGGAAGAGATGGAAGTTAGTGTTGCGACAAAGCCATCGGAAGTCTTTCAACCCATCGTGTTCCAAGCGAACGCAGAAGAGCAGAAGAAACTGTTGCTGTTCGAATGCCAAGGGCGACACAATCAGTACACAAAAGATTTTCTGGAGGAGGCGTGGATCAAGAATGATTTGTTCGAAGCGGCTGCTAAGTGGAAGAGCTGCAGCAAACACGACCTGCATGCCGTGTTTCATGCATTGAACAGCTTGTCACCAGCTGCTTGGTTTGTGTTCACAAAGAACTTTTGTTTAATGTTTCTGTGTCGTTTGAAATCTGTGATTGAAATTATGCGTTGGTGGCCGTCAGAACATTGCTGATCAGGACCGAAGAGCAGACGTCTTGGATGGACCACGTACCGGAGCAGTCGCAGAAGAGGAAGCAGCGCCCATGGACACGGGCGAGGACGACCGCCACGTCTTTTTGAAGAAATGTTTACCTCGACTGCCTGCTGATTGTGTTCGCTTCAGCCAGCAACGGGTTTACAGCAAGCCTTCTGACTTAGTGAAAGCTATGATTCAAGCATTGCCTGCCAACAGGCGCTTGAACGAGGACCAGGAAATTTTCATGATGCGCTTTGCCGAGGTGCTCGACGTTGTCTACGAGCAAGAAGTCGCAGAGCAGCCGCCCGACAAGCGACATGTGTACCACATGCTCCTTCTGGGTCAAGGCGGCTCTGGCAAGACGCACATCGTGCAGAATATCATTTTTCCAGTGGTCCATTTCATTTGGCCAGCAGACAATGAGGCAGAGACCCTGATGGTTGTGGCCGCCAAGAATGCGCAGGCCAAAAACATCTCCACAGAGCAGGTGCGGGCAAGGACATTACACGGAGCCGCGCTGCTCGGTGTCCAGTCCCTGACCAACAGCAACATGGCGGCCGGCTCCAAAGAAAACGCGCTACAAAAACTCTGGGGCTCGGTTCGCGTGTTGGTCGTGGAGGAGATCAGCATGGTATCTGCTTTGTTGTACAACATGTTGGACTATCGAGCGATGCTGGGTCGTCGTGTCGTTTTCAAAGTGGACCGACACACCTACACAAAAACTGGTTGTGCTTTTGGTCGCGTGCCGATTGTTCTGCACCTTGGTGATTTCTTTCAGCTTCGTCCTACTGCGCAGTTGTCGTTGCTGGACGACTTGGAAGCGAAGGACGACGATGGGAATTATGTCTATCAGGACGTGCCAGCAGAGGTGCAGCATGCACAGCAACTTTTTGGCTCGATTCCAGATGTTTTCGAGCTCCGTGGCACAATGCGATTCAAACCTGGTGACCCTTTGATTGACATTTTGCAGCACATGCGGTTTGGCAAACGCTTTCCCGATTCGTTGTGGGCAAGGTTGCAGGAAAGGTTTGCGGTAGATGTTTCTCCTGGTGTGCAAGATGCACGGTTCGACGAAGCCAAGTTTCGCGAAGGATACGGCATGTCGATTTACTGGGCCTCTTTGGGTCGCATGATGTGCCGCAGAGCGCTCATGGATGCTGTCCGCCTGGCACATCCATTAGTTTTGCTTCAGGCAGCTGATGTGTGCAGTGACCTGGACAAGGAGACTGCTTTCCGCTTCTTGAACCGTCCGAATCCCTACCGCACTGGTCATATGCATGGAATCTTTCCCTGTCATGTCGGCATGCAGGTGCGACTTATCGCGAAGTTGGATGCTGACAAAGGAATGATTCAAGACACCGTTGGCACCATCATGGATTTTGAGTTTCACAGCCAAGATCGCCGACGCTATTCTCACTGCGCTGGTGGAGATCTGTTTTCGCCACGGTATTTGCCGTCAGGCATTTGGCTGTCCATTGATGGTTTCCAGGGATGTTCTGACTGGATGAATTTGATGGACTTATGCCGGCAACATGTCCCAGATGATGCAACGGCCGAAAAGTTGGCTCGCAGCTTCTGGTTTTTGCCTGCGGAAGAAATTGTCGTGAAATTCTCCAGCACGCAGAATTACCAGGTGCGCCGCTGTGGATTCAGGATGACGCATGCAAACTTCTTTACAAGCACAGGGTCGCAGGGTTTGACTTTGCGGAAAGGCACAGTGGTTGATTGTGCGCGTTTGCCAGAGATGGACGACGACAATTGGTGGCTCCATCTTTACGTCATGTTCAGCCGCGTGACGGCTTTGGGTGATTTATTATTGCTACGTCCACCGCCACGGGATGTTCTCGAACGTGGGCCACCAGCAGCGATCGCTGAGAAAGTTGCCGCATTTCAGAAGCGAGCAGAAGAATGTCGACAAGGGACATTTTCTAAGTGCCAACGTCGCACTGAACCATAGCTTCTGGTCGTTAGCTTCCTTTCGGCTTCCTGTCATGGGATGGCACACTGTCAACAGCTGTCGTGGGCGCATTGATGCAATGTGCGAAGATGATGCCTGCGATAGCGAAGTTTATACTAACAGCTTGTGTCGGCACATTGATGCGCTGTGCGAAGATGATGCTTGCTGAAGAGAGTTTATCAGAGTGCGACAGTTGTTACGAGAAGGAAGTGTGTCATCCGATGAATTGAGGCGAGGTAGCTACCATTATTTGTATTTTGCTCTACTGCCTTATGATGCCATGTAGGCAGATGTCGCGAGAGCTTCATGTCATGGGATGGTACACTGTCAACAGCTGTCGTGGGCGCATTGATGCAATGTGCGAAGATGATGCCTGCGATATTGAAGTTTGTGTTAACAGCTTGTGTGGGCACATTGATGCACCGTGCAAAGATGATGCCTCTCCTCTTGAAGAGAGTTTATAACACTGCGACAGTTGTTCGAGAAGGAAGTGTGTCATCCGATGGATTGAGGCAAGGTAGTTTCCATAGCTCCTGTGGCCACATTGAAGCACTGTGCGATAGTTGATGCGAGAAGCAAATGCGTTATCCGATGAATCATAGCGGCAAAACTTCGAAAGGTGCAGCTGTGTTTGTTGCTCACGCGCTTGTCTGCACCGGTGTCGTGGGGCAGTAGTTGACAAGCCAAGAGGAACAGGAGCGTTGTAGGCTAAATTCTGCACTGCCCATGGACAGCTGTTTTGTTGCAATTTCAGCGTGATCGCATCTTCTGATACTACCTGCCAGGTACTGACCTCATCGCGTACATGGTCCACGCCGACACCCGCACTCACACACACACACAGACACACACATACACACACGTACACACACACATACACACACACACAGACAAACACCACACACACACACACAGACAAACACACACACACAGACAAACACACACACAGACAAACACACACACACACACACACACACACACACGCACGCACGCACACATACACGCCCACACACACACACACACCCACACACACACACACATCATCCAAACGCCAGTCGTGGGCCATCCGTTTTCGTGATGGTCTGCGCTGTACGTTTGCGGACACATAATCAATGGTCACGCATCGATTGCCCTTCGCCGCACTTCCTGGCGTGGGGCATCTTTGATCGTGGCCGCACACCACACACACATACTCGCACACACACACACCTCACACACAAACACAACTCATCCATACACAACTTACTCACACATACTCGTCCACACATAACTTACTCCACACCAATCCTTCACCATCTCTTTTCTCTTTCTTGCTTACCCCATGCCGTCTTTGCCTTTCTTTTGTTGCTTGTTGGAAGAAGTTGACTTGTGGGGTTATCCGGTCCTTTAATGCTGGGACCTGGGAATTTGCGAATTGTTTTTTAAGCGATCTCTTGTTTCTTTAAAATCTGGTGGGGGATGAATCCAATGGCCAACGAATGGAACAGCAGGAAGCAAAACCAAAGTGGTCTGCACTGGGTCAGGTGTCACACAATTAAATTTGACAGCAGGGTATGGTGAAATGTGCGTAAATTGCAATTGCACACCGTCAACACATCCCACACTGACACTGAGTCATGTAATGTTTACTCATGTCTACTCAGCTTACTCAGTACATGAGTTGATGAGTTGAGCAATGATGTGCATGCTCAGGAGTGGTGGTGCTTCAGGCTGAAGAAGGCAGGGCGTGCATTGAAGCAGCCCTGCATTGAGTGATGTTGTCGTGCACGTTGTGCGGCAAAAAGTGGAAACCATCGGATCTTGGAAGCCTAGGGCCTATAGGCCTAGGGGCCTAGTGACTATAGTGATAGGACCGGACAGGACCGGATTCGTGGTGATTCTTTTGGGGTTGAGGGATTGAGAACAGGACCTGAAAGTTGAAAGCTGAAAGCTGCTGTCAATCAATGATATTTGATTTGATTCTCTCTAGGACTCAGAATCTATAGGCTACAGACTATAGACTAGAATCTATAGACTATAGACTTGACTTGACTATATAGACTGTACACTGTACACTGTAGAGCTACAGATTATCATACGTCAAAAGTAATAGGTCATATCATAATTGTCATAATCATTGTTACAACCTTATTATAGTATAGTAATCATAGTCATAGTCATAGTCATGGTCAATATAATAGATTCATACCAGTAGTAATAGTAAATAGTAGTACGCACAGTGGCGGAAGTTTCAGAGTTCAAGGGGTAGGACTACGAAACCTATACTACTACTATAGGAGAGGTTGTTTGTTGTGAATCATGGGTGACAGAGCGAGCCCACTGATGCATCCAAAGGTGGTTGGACTGTTGGGCTATCTATCTATTTGTGCGTCTGTCTGCCTATCTGTCTTTCTATCTATTTATCTATTCTATTTCTATTCTTCTGTCTAGTCCAGTCTATCTATCTGTCTCTGTGAGCCTATCTATCCATCCACCCATCTATCTATCTATCTATCTACCTATCTATCTATCGATCGATCTATCTATCTACCTATCTATCTATCTATCTATCTATCTATCTATCTATCTATCTATCTATCTATCATCTATCTGAGTCTGTCTATCTGAGTCTATCTATCTATCTGTCCAGTCTATCAATTTATCTATCTGTCTGTCAGAGTCTTCTGTCAGTCTAGCTAGCTGTCTGTCTGTCGGCCCAATCTTTCTGTCTATCTGTACCTACCTTAATTATCCATCTATCTGTTTGTATGTCTATCTGCTAGCTAGCTGCTAGCTGCTATCTGGCATCTGTCTACATATCTTTCTGTCTGTCTGTCTGTCTACCTATCTTTCTGTCCATCTGTCACTATCCGACTATCCAACTATCTATGTGTCTATCTATCTGACTCTATCTGTCCAACTATCTATATCTATCTATCTACCTGAGTCTATCTTTGTGTCTATCTATCTATCTATCTACCTGTCTATCTACCTGTCTACCTGCTATTTGTCTATCTATCTACCCGTCTATCTATTTGTTTTTCTATCTATCTTTCTGTATATAGTCATAGTCGAGTCGGGTCTATCTGATCTATCTGTCTCACTGTCACTATCACTTCCTGTCTACTTATCTTTTTTGTCTGTCTATCTGCCTCTCTATCGGTCTTTCTATCTTTCTGCTTATCTATTTGCCTATCATGAATCTATCTATCTAATCTGTTCATCTATCTGATCTATCTGATCTATCTATCTATCTATCTATCTATCAAGCAATCCATCTATCCGATAGAATGAATTTAGCCATCGATCTATCTATCTTTCTTTCTTTCTAGCTGATCTGTCTACTTTCCAACCCATCTACCTATGTTTCTATGAATCTATCTAATCTAATCTAGCTGATCTAGCTGACTATCTTTTCTGCCGGCTGCCACGCTTCTGCCACATCTTGGCTTTTAGATTGTCCATATTGTCTGAAGTGTCTGAAGTTTGACTTCTAAATTTCCTTTCTGTGATCAATAGATTCATCATATTGAATCATATTCTCATACAGCGTACTGTACTGTACAGTCACATTGGAATTTTTGGTAAGCACAGGACCTTGGCTTGGCCGGCCCGCTCTCTTGTCACTTTGGGGCACAGTACAGCCATGTCAATAGCAAGTCACAGTCATTAGATTCAGATCCTGACACCACCTGCGCGAGAGACAGAACATCTGCCTTGGCAATTGCAAGGTTTGATAGTTTGATTGGGATCAATCAGAATCAGAATGGAATCAGTGCTGCTCAGTGATCTCAATGATCACTGGAATGTCCGCAACATTGTAACATTGACATTGCAACGAAGCCGTATCTCAATTCGTTGAGTATTGAGTAGTAGTCGTGAATATCATGAAGCAGCAGCCGTGTTGGACCGAACTGTCTTCATCTGACTCTGACTCCATCTGGTTTCGCTATGGCCGCTATGGCTGTGGCGGCTGTGGTTTGCTTCCATCTACAGTGCGGTTCCCGTATCCACCACACATCAGCAGGGGATGATAGCCCTGCTGATCTGTGTGGTGGATACGGATGACTCCATCTGGTTTCGCTCTGGCTGTGGTTTGCTTCCATCTACAGTGCGGTTCCCGTATCCACCACACACATCAGCAGGGGATGATAGCCCTGCTGATCTGTGTGGTGGATTCGCTCTGGCTGTGGTTTGCTTCCATCTACAGTGCGGTTCTCGTATCCACCACACACACATCAGCAGGGGATGATAGCCCTGCTGATCTGTGTGGTGGATACGGATGTCCATGGTGAGGCCTTTGCCCTTGAATCTCTTTGCTGCCGCTGCAAACTCTGGATCTCAGTCAGTACTCAGTAGGGGCTCATATGCTGTCAAAAACCATTCCAAGGGTTCCAATGTGTCAGGGTCAAACATCTTGACCAAATCTATGAAGCGGAAGCGAGCAGCATCTGCAGCAGCTTTCTGAAGTTCATCGCAGGGAACATCATCGACCCCCATCCAATGGGACCTCAAAGTCACAGGTGTCCAATGCGTCTCAACGGTCATTCTCTCACTCGGTCAAGCTTTCGTAGATTTTTCTGATGTCTGATGGACGAAACTGCATTGGCCACAACGGCCACAAGCTGAATGTTCTCAGGGCTGACTTGCCTGAGGCCAGGTATTTGCTTTTGCAACCAAATACAGATTGAGATTTGAAGTTTTGCTTTTTATATGTTCCTTTTGCCTTTGCTTTTGTATTGTTTTTTGTGTTTTTTTTTGTTTTTTTTGTTTTTTTTTGCTTTTTGATTTGTTTTTTTTCTGCTTGCTTTTTTGGTTTACATTTTTAAACAAATTTTTGAGGAAAACACATATTCCATTGTTTTATAGGATCTGGCTGGAAGCGGTGAACATAAGACTAACTCCAGTTTTTTCATCACCATAAACCTATAGTTAGTTATTTCAACAAAATTAGCCAACTTAGTCGACTTAGCCTAATTCCAACTCTTGAATCCCAATTTATATCCCCATCAAATTGTTCGTGTCCCCTCAGGTTTGGTGCTTAAATCACCAAAATATCCCCACTTCCATGGGCAGGTGTCGGAAAGCCATCAGCGCAATACAGTCCATAAAGTATCACCATGATACCCTCTGGTAAACTAACATAACTATGGAAAATCACAAGTTTTAGTGGGTAAATCCACTATTTCTATGGCAATTTTCAATAGCTATGTTAAATTAAATTACCAGAGGGTATCTCCATTCAATCCCATGCCATCACATGTCTTTTATACTTAAATCCCATGGAAATCACCATCTGTTTTCAGTTTTCCTCGGTGAAATCCCATGAAAATCACTAGTTTTCCTCGGTGAAATCCCATGGAAATCACCATCTTTTGCTTCCAATCTGGGCGCGTCAGGTGATCGGTGAGCTGACGGCCGCCATGCTGGCGGGCTCCGCGCTGCACCGTGGCATGGCCACCATGGTCTCCTGGCACTGGGCGGTGGGAAGAGAGTTGTCTCAGCATCAAATTGATAGGTTTCATGGTGATTCAACGGTGATTGAATGGGATGCAATGGGATTGAGACTTAATGCTGGTTGGTGGTTTGGAACATGAATTTTATGACTTTCCATATGCTGGGAATTTCATCATCCCAACTGACTTTCATATTTTTCAGAGGGGTAGGCATACCACCAACCAGTAATTGGATTGAAAAAAAATCGGACTTCATGGGAGGTGATTTGATGTTCTATTGGGATCTAATGAGACTTCATGGGATTTTTCATGTGTCTTAATGGGATGTTAATAACTATAGAAGCCATGGAACATGTAAATGTGATTTACCCAACAAGAATGGGGGGATTGAATGGGATATGACCAAGAGAACTCTACCCCGTCAATTAAAGGTGGTTTTTCGTTGGTTTAATGACTACCCCGGATTAAACTCGCCCAATTGACTTTAGTACTGTCCAAAAAACTGGGGACAAAGTCAGAGGAGACTTATTAATCTTAACTAGTCATTAATGATTAGTAATGATGACTAATTAGTTTGGCTTCAATGGGATTCAAATCCCATTACCCTTGAATTAAGAGTGATGTTTATCGGATGCTATGGGATGATGACTAAAAATGGTGATGTCTTGTGAAATTCAATGGGTAATGGGATTTAATCAAATGTTTATTGTGATTATATCATACCCTCTGGTGTTTATCAGTGTGATATGGGTAATAGATATAGATAAAGATCCCAATAAACATAGGGTAATGGGATATATCAGTGTGTTTTTTGTGAGTTTACGGGATTCAAGAATACCCTCTGGTTATGACTAACATAGCCATGGTATAGATGGCCCATAGAAATAGATGGTTTACCGAACTCAAACATGGTGATTTTAACCATGGCAAACTGTGAATGTCATAACCAAAGGGTAGGTGTTTTCTATGTGATTTACGGTGAGAACTTGCAAACTTGGAGGATCACCCCCTACGTGTGGATGTGAATCCATCATCCCTGGCGGTTCCAACTAGTCTCTCCGGTTTCTTGTCGCGGAAAAACATATTTTTTTACCATGGGTTTCTGGTGGAAACTGATTTACGTTCATGGTGGGTTGTCTATATATATATAATTATATTTATATGTCAAATTACTGGAGGGTCATTCAGAAGTGTGTACAGGCAGTCAGGTAGTCAAACCTGGGAAAATCCAGCATTTTTTGAAGTTTACTTTTTGCACTGGTGAATATCTCTCTGCATGCTGATGATCTCCCCATTTTATCCCCACTTGTGTTGGCCAGTCTTCATGTATTTGCCTTAATACGTGCTCAACATCTGTCCTGAGAAGGTGTTTGTATCCCACATGAACTATCCCTGACAGTCTCGAAAAGGTATATCTACCAATTTGCTGGATAACATACCTTTGACATGGACCAATACCAATAACCTTCTGGTAATTTACCATAGCCATGGAAAATCACAATTTTTAACTAGGCAGATCATCATGTAAAAATCATCTATGGGTCATGTTCCATAGCTATGTTATATCAATAACCATAAGGTAATCATGGAGGTTGTTCCAGCACGCTTTGGATCCGAAAGAGTTGATCTTGTGGCCACACGAGGTCTTGAATTTGGTGAGCCACACCACGAGCCATGCCTATGACACCAGTACAGAGCTGCTTGGCAGATTTCTTTAAGGCCCTCTGAAACATGGGGATTTACCTATATTTGGCTCATTGGTAATACAATTGGCAGTCCTTGATATTCCATACATGGAGGCTATGGAGAGAACAATTCCAGCATCCGGATTTGACTAGACAACGAGTACCTGAAGAGTTTGGGAGAGTTTCGGAGCACCAGACGCAGCCATTTGGCCTTGGTTTATGAAGTTGCAATGGCTAGGGCTTCGCGGATGACTAGCTCCCCCTCATAAAGCCTGGCACAATGAGGTAGATCCATTCATGGGGCACCAGGGCTTTGAGGGATGTGATTCTATTGAACGGATGGTTGTTGACAGATGGAAGTGATGTAATTAAGCACCTGGATTGGCGCATATTGGCGCGATTTAGAAGACAGGGAGAATTTGGAAGACCTGGAAATGGCTCAAGTCTAGATACTTAGGACTCACCATTTAGGAGACATTTTGGGCACGAAATGTTGAGCCCTGTACCCATCCAGGCTGCTTCAGAATGAGAATCAGGTGATCCTCAATCTCATGAGCCTATTGCTAGGGTTGAAGAATGGAGTCTCTCAAAATCCAAGCAAGGGGTTTCATAATTTTATTTTTAACCATTAAATCCTCGGAATGGCAGGTATACCATGTTTGCTAGACGCGCCCTTAAATGCCAGGCGTAATGTTTGGTGATTTGAAATACCTCGTTTTAACGGTGGATTTTCCCTCAAACTAAAAATATATATATATAATATACAATCCATTGAAACCGCAGAATGGTTGATTCGCCCATGATATCAGGGCTTAAAGTCGCACCGTTTCACTCCGTTCGAAAAACAGAGGCGCTGGTTTGACTTGTACCACAAGGGCTCTCGGCAGGAGATCTACCACTGCAGCATTCCAAGGCGATTTTCCGTTTTTTTTTTTCCGGATGAGTTACAAAAGCCAAACAAAATATGATATTTGAAAATATATGGGATATGTAATACATGAACATATGGAATATCACATGTCATCTCATTTCGGATATGTAAATTGGATATGGATGTTGCGGGATAAACCGACTATATTGATATATTTATATATGGTATGACATATTTATATGTTATAGGATATGTATACATGTTTTGGGATATGTATACTTAGTTATATTTCGATAAGACAACATCCCAATGGTTTTTCCACATGTGATATGGGATATGTTCCGGATATATATATATATACATATATATATATAATGGGATATGTATGTATTTACAGTGATTTATGATCATTGGCTTACATTGTTGAACTGTTTTTTTCCATTAGGTTGCATGGTGATTGTATAGAATATGTGAATGGTAAACTGTGAAACCATAGATAGGCACATATCAATCTATTTTCTCCAATATTTTGTTTTACCTTTCTATGTGAGCAGTGATCAACATTATAATTTTAAATTATAAATTAAATCTATATCTTTTAAATAACTTAACTTGCTCATATCATCAACAACTCACAATCCACATGTTGCTCCTCCACATGTTTGTTTGTGCGCGCCTTTTCCTCGGCACACATACCCTATACATCTTAGAGTCCATAGTCCATAGTCATAAAGCAGGGATCATTCATATTCATATCATGTTCATATCCATGTAGATCAGTTTTTGCTTGGAGCATGTTGGAGCAGAGTTCCTGATTTTCCGTGAAGTCAGGGAAAAGAAAAGTCCAACTCACCCCCCACTCCAAGTCAAAAGTGTGTTTCTCAGTCTGGAATTTGGATGTTTCATTGAAGCATCAATGTGGAGTCTTTCTTAAAAGTTGGGTACCCCGGGTACCCCCAAATCATCCAACTTTAGATCTCTCCCGTCTCGCCTTCGCCGCGAAGGCAAAGTGGGATTTGCGGCCAGAGCATCGTCAACGCTGCGCATTATTTGTATGAGTTCCCCGGCGAGAGAAACTGTCAGCGGGAAACAGAGACTGTCTGACTGTCTGAATCTCACCGGTGACTATTGAATATCAAATGATCAATATGATTAATGTTTCTCAACAGGTCATTCAATATGTATATGTATATCAGAGTATATCAGATATATACATAAAATTTCATATTGATCAATATAACTTTAATTTATCAGAGTATATCAGATATATACATATAATGATCAATAGAATTAATTGAAAGACATGTTTCCCAACATGATTTTAGTGATCCCATGAATATTTGATCATCCCAAGGCACTTCAAAGGGGTCATCCTCACGGTTTTCAGTGTCACGACTGTTCCCGGCTAGGGCCAACTACAGTTTTTCGAGTAGCCCAATTGACTTTGGTCCAATTCCAACTTTGAGTGGCAACGAATGCGATTTTTTTGGCAACAGAAACCACACTTGGGTTCTGGCAATCAAACATGGCAACTGGAAATCCTCAGGTTCAGTTTTCGAGCAAATCAGATCATCATGTTAGATTTCTCGAGGGCACTGCTTTCAGGGGCTCAGCCACCAACCAGTACCTATACAAAAGAGGATACAAACATATACAAACCAAGTGCCAAGTGCCAAGAGAAACCATGGCTGCTTCCCGTTCGATTCGATTCCTCATCAACCAATCACAGTTGGCTCATATCTGTGTTTAGGCAATAAACCCTGTATAAGCCTCTATATATATATACTGGTTGGTGGTTTGGAACACTTTTTATTTTCCCACATATTGGGAATAATCATCATCCCAACTGACGAACTCATATTTTTCAGAGGGGTAGGTATACCACCAACCAGTATATATCATAATATATATATATAAATATCCTCCATTAACCATATAATAACCATTAATATTAACCATATGTTAAGAATATTAATAGTATATTACCAACCAATGGTAGGTTGATATATTCCCCATGATATGCCCCATTCCCATTCTGTCGCCCATGGTAGGCACCATGGCATGCTGCTGATTGCCGTGAAGCGCTCGCGCGCCGAGGGCACTGAGACGCCCGTGAGTCGCTTTGACAATTTGTCCCAGTTAAGTGATGGTTAGTTTATTGATGGTTACTGTTAACATATAGGGATGGGTCAAAACCCTGGTACCTAGTGAACCCCAAAATAGCTGGTAAATGGATGTTCATCCCACTAAAAATGTATCTATAGGTATTGACCCATACCCATATAGAAAACATATATGAATCCAATAATATAGAAAACATATGGTATAATATAGTATAATATATAATTAGTGGTATAATATATGGTATATACTTAGTGGTATAATATATAATTAGTGGTATAATTAGTGAGAATCCAATATATGGTATAATATATAATTAGTATATATAGTGGATTGTCTACTGTTTAGTATAATTAGTATTGATGTTTACTGTTAACATAAAAAAAAAAACATACCCTATGGATCCAGCCGTACCTTCTTAAGAAGTCTTTGGGGTATAATTTACTATAATTTTTTAGGAGGACTTTAAGTACCTTCTCAGACATTGTTTGGATCCATAGGGATATGAATCCAATATATGGTATAATATATATATATATATTGTGGGTTGTCTATATATATATATAATTATATACTGGTCGGTGGTTCGGAACATTTTCTATTTTCCATAGTATATATGGGAATAATAATCCCAACTGACTAATATTTTTCAGAGGGGTTGAAACCACCAACCAGAAAATATATATGAATCCACCTACATAACTTCCATAATATATAGTATACAATATATAATATAGTCATGGTGTAAATCCATCAGTTGCGATGGTTAAAATATGGAAGTTTCCTAAGTCATGGGGAATCATTCATTTATAGATGGATGTTCCACTATAGACCATGCATGTTGGGGTACCATTTATGCAGACCTCCATACATAAATCCATCTATCACCATTATATCTCAGTTTATTTACAACATTTGTTCAGCCATCAGCCATCTATAGCCATAAACATAGATTTGCCACTTTGTTATACACCCATGTATGATAGATCTACCAAAGACGTTCACCGTCACCGTCATCAGAGACCAACTTCGCCAAAGAACGGGGAAAGGCAACTTTTTGGTGAAATCAATACTGATGGTGCGACCTGATTTCTACACTTCCAGCTTTATGGTCGTATATATAATATATTATATACACATACACATACACATTACATTATATTGAATGTGTATATATATATATATATATACGTAATGTACATTTACATTGAATGTATTTATTCAGTGTATATATATATATGCTTATTGTACACATTGCATGTCACATTGTAGAAAATATCTTTATTTTTTTGAGTTCCGGTTAGTTGTCTGGTTGGATACAAGCTCCATCAAGCTTGTTGATCCCCTTTGGATGCGACTAGCCGTAGCACCCCATCATTTTCCCTGCTAAAAAAACATTTTGGGGCTGACAGTGGGTATATTGACCGAAGGAGGTCTCTTTTGGGCAGCACGTTGAAACATGACCCGTGTTTTTTCTGATCCACTTACCGGGCCCTGGCAGATCATTATATAGTCATCCTGGAATCGATAGAATATGGACAAAATTCCAAAAACCCTCATTGAAATGGGAATATGATTGAAAAAAACAATTAAAAACAATATTCCAAGATTCCAAAGATATACGATTTACAGTGAAGATTTTGCTATGAATTACAAAGTAGCTCCCATTATCTCTATATTCCAGGATGACTATACTATTATAAAATCTATTATATAATAATGGTCTGTAGTTGATTTACCAATTATTTTGATACTGATTTTCCATAGCAGACTGTTAGTTTACCAAAGGCTAAACGCGCTTCAACCACCATTGATCCATGCTTTTCCCCTTCAAAGCTGTTCCATGTGTTTCCCATGATTTCCAGTATTTTTCCAGTTCCCAAATGGCATTGTTTCCCATTAAACCCCAATAAACCTCCACTTGATGCTTCACCACCATTTTTCCCATTTGTATCCATGTGTTACCCCCATAAAGTACCAGAAGCGACCAGATTTCCGACAGATTTTCCCTCTCAGACTTTCATTTTCCCAGTATGTATGTTTGCCTATTTTTCCATGATCTTCCCATGATTTTGCCATGAAAAGCGGCCAACATCGACGCAGCTGAGGCAACTTCTCGAAACAGCGACGCTCGAGGCTGTTGCTCTTCCCGGGAGGTGAGGACACGCTGTTGCAGGACAGGAAGATGGCAGGAAAATATTACGTATACCCAATTTGGCTGACCAGTTTTAATAGGGAACTTGTTCTAGACTCTAGACCTTTGGATTTTGGGGAACCCTAATTTTGGACCAAGCCAGATCAGAACTGACCTATGATGGCTGGCATTTTAGATGTGTAGCCCCCAATTTCTATGTCGATCAATTTCGACTGGGAGAATTTGGGACATGTATTCTCAAAGCCATTGGATGTTGTGTAGTTCCCCAACATTTTCAGACCACGTCAAGTAGCTCATGGTTGCTATAGGTGGTTGCGACATAAGTTCAACCTTTCATTCACGAAATCTACTATTCATTGGTTAGATCCACCATCTTTGATGCCTAGCTAAATCCCACATTGTTGACATATCCCCATTATATATACCAAAAAAAACGAAACCATTTGTCTACCAAACTATCGGTCCTAACTGGCAATGTTTCCTCAAACCATTCCATTGAAACCTCAGTATGATTGGTTTCTAATTATAGTCCCTCCCTATACAGGAGTTCCCATATATGATCCCTTCAATCGAACACAAATCCAACAGAACCCTGGAACATCCCCCCATGCACGGAAAGAGGATGTCCGAAAGGATTCCTTTCATAGTGATGTTAGAGGGACTTCAGGTCTGCTCCAGAGGTATGTTCAAACCACTCAGTAAGTGGATAGTAACTCTGGTTATCCCATTGACAAGTGGGTTACACGCGAGGCTTGTGCTGGTTCCACGGGTTACTATAGACGATGTTATCCCATGTTATCCCCACATACCCTGTGGTAATTTCACAAAGCTATGGAAAATGGCTCATGTTTTTCATGATTGACCTATAACAAACAGTCATTCTCCCTAGGTATGTTAAATTACCAGAGGGTATACTCCATTTGGTTCGATGAAACCCCAATAACCCTCCAAGAAAGTTGCTGCTTAAAAAAACGACTTTTTCCATTCGTTACCCCCCATCAATCCGATCCATCCCTGAAATCAGTCCAAGCATTCAGTTATTTCCCAATTATGCTGTTTCTAATTATAGCCCCATAGAATCCCCATGTAATTTCCATGATAGTCTCTTGAATCTAAGACAAGTCCAGAATTCCCAATAATCCCCATAGAATTCCCATAATTATAATATATTATAATTATTCCCATTAATTCCCCATAGAATTCCCATTGCATTGATGTTTAACCACCATTTTTCCCATTTAAGTTACACCCCCCATCCATCTCCACTCCCAGGACGGCGACCGCGTCTACGTCATCGCCAGCTCCCTGCCGGAGGTCGTGGTGGCCATCAAGCGTGCCGAGACGCACCAAATGGGGGATTGAAACAGAGAAAAGTGGGGGGGATTGATGAGATTCTGACGAAAATGATGATTTTTTGATGGGATATTCAAACTTATTTTTGAAAAATGGTGATTTAATGGAATCTAAGGAAGAAACAGGGGGGGTTGACGGGATTTAGCCAACCAAAATTGTGAGTTGATGGGATTTTGCCAAGAAAAAAATGTGTTCAACATGGATTCAATCAAGAAAATGATGATTTCATAGGATTTCACGAAGGGAAATTATGATGTTTTTTTGATTTAAGGGGATTTAATGGTTTGGTACAACCAAAATAGCCATGGGGACCTATGAGCACTAGGGTATACTAGGGTTATTAATGGTTCTTCACCGTTATCTATTGTAGCAGGTAAGTGTGCCTGAAAATGAATGATCATGGGGAATTTAAGCAAGGAACATGGTGATATAGAACCCACCGCGGTGAGGATGCAACGGGATATGAGAACATAAGCAGCAGTATGTTTTGAGTTCGTCCCAAGAGGGTACAAGATGGCGCCCCATTGTTAGTTAATTTGATTTTTGAATGTACAGGTTACCCTCTGGTTATTTAACATAGCCATGGGCCATGGTATAGATGGCCCGTTTATAGATGGTTACCTATTAAAAATTGTGATTTTCCATGGCTATGTTAAATAACCAGATGGTAACTGTTGGGCTTATCCTTTATCAACCAACTTAAGACCGGAAATTCGGTCAAGTGGTCATGAATTCAGTAGCTTCAATTTACATTTACCATCTGGTTATTTGACATAGCCATGGAAAATCACCATTTTGATAGGCAAACCATCTATAAATGGGCAATTTTCCATGGCTATGTTAAATAACCAGAGGGTACATCGTTTTTTTCCCCCTATCCAACCGTTCAACGGGCTGTTTCTCCCAGAGAGGATCCAGCTTTGCAGCTCTTTTAGGCGCCAAAGCGTCAGTGAAGCCGGTGCTGGCCAAGAAGCGGCATTCGGACCTCAACCAGGTGTGGCATCGCCAGTGGCATAATCAGTTTGAAATTGGTGATGGAAATTGATTGATGCGATTTCACCAAAAATAATTGTGAACCAAAAAAAATGGTGACTTAGTGGGATTTAACCATGAAGAATGGGGGTTTAACCACCAACAGTTGAGATAAAACCGCAAACATGGGGGGAAACTAAGCATTTTCTGGGTTGTTGAGAGTTTTTTGACTATATTTTGATGGGCCGTGGGGTCATATTTCCTGTTGATTACTGCAGGGTATATCCCCTGTTGATGCTGGGTCATAAGCCACTTATCAAAGAGTGAACCAACTCCATGGACTCCATGGCCCTAAGATCCGACACAAAATGGGAAGGGTTGGAGCCTCTAAAGGTTTGGATGTTCGTCAAAAAACATACAATTTCATAGGTAGTATGGTGATCCAATCACAGCAAGTTGGATGATTTTGGATGTAACCATCGACACCGGAAGTTTTATCATCAACCTTGCTACTGTAGTCATGAACATACGGGTCAACCGACTGATGTGAGTATGGTCAGACAGGTGGGTATGTACCTATTTTGAACCAGTTTGAACCCAAGTTCTGGTTTATTGCAGCCGTCCTTTCCTGTTGTTTGCTTGCCAGAATTACAATGTGTACACATGTATCTATATGATGGACTATCCAAATATTATGTATACAAGTATACAAACATGTTGTTAGCTTTATTTGTCCATACTGTATACTTGCTCTGGGAACAAATTAGGAAAAACACAGTTTGAATATGTTTGAATGATATTGTATATATATATTATGCAATCAATAGATACAGCAACTGTATGTATGTTAGATGCATACATACGTATAGATGATTCTCAGATATCATGGTATCCGCAAGACCCAACTTTCTTCAAGACATGAGTATGTGTTATTATTTTATATTACTTTGTCTGTGTCGATTTACGTAGCTCCACGGTCAGAACCTCAGGTGACCACTGGGAACCTGAGCCCGCAGACGCAGCTGGTGCGGAAAGGACAAGGCGATCAGCACACCTGGGAGGACGGGCGGCTCGGGGATGTGGCTGGGATAACCTGCAACCAACAGCGGTAGCAGCAGTCCAAGCGAGGGTCAGTGCGCATGTGGATGCATGTGGCACATGGACATGAAAAGTGATTGCCAAAGTGTTGCCAGTCTAAGCTGGACGGCCAGGACAATTTGTGTACAAAAGGCTTGCAAACCCAGTGTATCTCACACTAGAGCGAGAACTCAGTGAAGCCATAGAAGTTTGCAGGCTGCTAGCACCCAAAAAAACTGGTGCACTGATCCACTGAAATGATGGTCAAAACCTGTAGTGTCAGAATGTGGGCATGGTGCCCCTCAAATCCAAACCGCAGAACCACAAACAGATTGAAGGCACAAGGACGTGGCGTAAGCAGTGGAAAATGCTCTCCCGCAAAGTTCCTCAAAGCAGGGCCAGCGTGCATGCAGGAATGGGCAGGCTCCGGCTCTCGTGACGTATTCAACTCCAAATTGTTTGTCATAAGTAGCATTCCAGGTGAAGGTCCAGTCTAATGGCTGTACCAGCTGTAATTACCAGGCGTGGAGTTTGAACAGGCTGTTCCGAGGGATTTGTGTTCTACAAAGGCCATCGCAGGAACAGACTCAAGCCGCATAGCACTGCATACCGTTACACACGAAAAGGTGAAGGTGGTCTTAACGCAACTTGATGCAGCTGCTGCGTCCAAACGAAAAGGCACACGCCATCCTGATGGCAGAAGGCATCGAAGAAGTTTACGCCATGACACTTTTTGGACAGAAACCTGCTTGCGGGTATCAGAGGAGAAGCATACTCCACTGAGAAGGGCTGCTCTGATGCTCCAAGAATTCAAGAAACCCTGAAATGTGCTGGTCGTGAATTCTAACAGACACTTGACCAGCGGGTGACAAATCAGTCAGTCGAACAAATGGAGGCAAAGAACAAGATATTGCAGAAGGAGCTGCAAGACAAGGACAAGCAGGCTCAGACAACTCCTCGTGCAGGAAAGAAAAAACTTGGCAACAACAGAAGTGGGCCCAGTTTGAGCCATGGGTTCGAGCCACTATATTGGTGGTCATTGGTTGCGGATTAGCTGGCTTTGCTGCATACTGCATTTGGACTTCACGCTGGAGGCACGGGGTTCCAAGAAGTCGTGCAGTTTTAAACCAAAAAGAGCAGACAGTCCTCAAAGCACAAGAAAGCGCAGCAAAAGGACCAGGTGCTCCAGAAGTATGAGATGAAACGGAGAGACAAAGAACAAGCAGTGCAGCAAAAGGACCAGGTGCTCCAGAAGTATGAGATGAAACGGAGAGACAAAGAACAAGCAGTACAGCAAAAGGACCAGGTGCTCCAGAAGTATGAAATGGAACGGAGAGACAAGGAACAAACAGTGCAGCAAAAGGACCAGGTGCTCCAGAAGTATGAGATGAAACGGAGAGACAAAGAACAAGCAGTACAGCAAAAGGACCAGGTGCTCCAGAAGTATGAGATGGAACGGAGAGACAAAGAACAAGCAGTGCAGCAAAAGGACCAGGTGCTCCAGAAGTATGAGATGAAACGGAGAGACAAGGAACAAGCAGTACAGCAAAAGGACCAGGTGCTACAGAAGTATGAGATGGAACGGAAAGAAAAGGAACAAACAGTGCAGCAAAAGGACCAGGTGCTCCAGAAGTATGAGATGGAACGGAGAGACAAGGAACAAGCAGTGCAGCAAAAGGACCAGGTGCTACAGAAGTATGAGATGGAACGGAGAGAAAAGGAACAAACAGTGCAGCAAAAGGACCAGGTGCTCCAAGAACGAACGAACGGAAGTGGAGCAAACAGTGCGCAAAAAGGACCCAACATTGGCGAAGAAACAGGCAGAACTGCAGCAAACACAGGGGAAAATTGTCATCTTGAAATATGGGAACGACTTGCTGTCCGGAATTTCAAACTCAAATGAGGTGAGTGAGGAACCAAAACCCGTATTGCCTATGTCAATTTTGATTGAAGTGTATTCTGTAGCCGTCACTGTCTCTGTTTTTTGGTGCTTATTATGGGGGTTCATCGGGCTCTGTGCCTTCCATTATTATTTTTAAGTGAATGAGTTTTTGTTTTTTTTTTGAAATGGTGAAACAATTCGAGACGAACAGCGGTGAAAATGGTCGTCGCGGCTCAGGGTGCGAAGGCAGAGATGTTCTATTTGTGTGGTAACTATGAGGTACTGGCAGGTTCAGCCAGGTTGACTGTCACATTTGGTCCAACATTTGGTCCACTGAGCATTGCCGACAATTGAAAGAAACATGTGGTGAGGTTTGATGGGACCTCTGGAAATGTTTCTTTCAAAGCAAAATTGAGTACATGGGGACAGTGGTGATATATACTGTATATATATAATATATATATATAACATATAGTTAGCCATATATATATATACAAGCTGCGGGGCACCCAGCGATTCCGACTTCCATTTAGAGTCATCACAATCATCGGAGACAGTCTGTGCAACTTCGTGGGATCACCCTGCCAAAGCCCCTGCACCACCAGCAGGAAGACAGCCAACCGGACTTCTTCACCCGACTGAAGCACCGCTCGGAACACTGGCGGGACAATCTGCCGCTTGGATCTAGGTCGACTGGTGAATCGTCGGTTCACAAACAGCCAACATTGGATCATTGGTTTACCAACAAAAACAACCATCAATGGAATTGACCTTGGTGAAGGAATTTGAATAGTCTAGGCATATGTTTGATATAGTTGTCTCAAAATTCAACCAAACATCTCACGCCTATACGTCCCACACCTGGACCCAGACCCACACCCGTTACGTTTCTTTGTCAACCACAACAAGTCGCCCATCTGGTCGTTTTTCCAAGGCCAAAGCAGGTCTCCTGTCGTTTGCGCCGCGCTTGGTGGAAGTTGAGGTGCCAAGTGATGTTCGGGGGACAGTTACCGAAGGGTTGTGGTTTTATATTGTTTTATACATGTTTATCATTGTTGATATTTATACAATCATGTTTTTTGTTTGCCGGTTTTATATTTTTTTAATACATTTTTATAATTGTTTATACAATCATGTTATTTTAACATACAGTGCCAACAAATTATTTATACTAACATTTTGCCAAATTTCGCCACGTTGCGTCTCAAGTGGGGCGGATCGATCGGACAAAAATGAAATGACTCCCCTTGCCCCTATCTACATAGACATAGCTAGATCGGGCAACAACTGATCCCTTTGTGATATTGTTCTGTGTGACACAGATAACAAGCATGGTACAGATAGGTTTTGATACTTTTTGGGGATTTGACCTTGCCATTTTTTTTGTCAACATTCACCTCGTAGCAATATTCAATTAAGTTTGCCGTGTTTTCAACAATTCCTTCTCTGCCTGACCCAGTCAAACAAAAGAAGCATAGCCTCCAACGAATGCCACAGTATACCCAACGCATATGAATTTGACAAGTGTGTCCCCCAAAAAAGAAAACCAAAACAAAACGTGCAATTAATCGAGATTGATGAATTGGATTATTGTTTCGATTTTATAATACCCCTCAGCATGATAATATTTCATACATATTTGGAACATCATGAACTGTGTATATATATATACATATATATATATATGTATATGTATAATTATATGTATGAAATGACCTTGTTTTGTTAATGACCCATGATGACCCAATCCCCCATTTTATGGTTGAATAGCTCCAATTCATGGTGGTACTGAGTTCCCCATGACCCATGACTTGAGCCGCAGGTTCCACTCGGAGTATTTCAACGACGAAGATTTGGGCAGTTTCGGTTCCTTGGCGAAAAAGGCGCTGCGGCGCCTAGTTTCGGCCGACAGGATCCGACAGGGACGGTGGTTGGTGCTTGAGTGTTTTTTTTTTTTTTTTCGGGGGAATGCAACAGTTCAAGAGCCATCTATTGCCTCAAAGTAAACATTCAACATCTGATGACAAAGGCTTTTCCACTACTTAGACGGGCCATGGAAAAAAGGCGATTTATGGTTAGTAACTGGGGATTTGTTACCCCCAAAAAATCCCAATGAAATAATCCATGGCTACTAACTATAGTTTTCCCTAACTCCATGGCCCATCTAAGCAGGTCAAGCACCAGAAAGAAATCCGGTGGACTGATGCCCTGTTGAGTCCAGCTTTTCCATCCCTCGATGGGGCCCAGTATGTGTCGAAGGGGCATCGTTCTTTATTTAGGTAGACCCAGTGGATCAAAGCTGCTCACCATTGATCCACCAATACTTGCTTGATATTCTTGATATGATAATATGATTATATATATATATACATATACTGTAATGATTGAATGATTGAACATATAGCTATCTTGGTTTCTGAATCCCTGATTGGCCCTGCAAAGCAAGATGGAAGCTCAAATACTACTCCAGGTTTGTTGTGGATGACGTCCTTTTTGGGTTCCACCAGACTGAAGTTTCAGTTTGTGTTGCCTGTTCTATATTTAAGCAAAATCCACTTAAAGCTTTCGCAAGCATCCACTTTTGTCAGTAGTGTCATCAGCTTATTTCTCAACCGTTCAAGGACTTGGATGCTCTCTGCTTAGATGGGCCACGGAGTTAGTTAACTAGTTAGTAAATGGATTACAATTGGGATATAGGGGGCTATATCCCCAGTTACTAACCATTTAGCTAATCCCATGGCCCATCTAAGTATGACTGTGAACAATGTCATTGGGTTTTTTTTTGGGTAACAAATCCCCAGTCACTAACCATAAATCGCTAATCTCATGGCCCACCTAAGTGGAATTGCCAAGTCAACAGTATCTCTGGGTTTGAATCCATGCCCAACCTGTGGCTGGGATTATTCAATAACCATCTGGTTATGACTAACAGTTCGCAAACTGGAAAATCCACCCATTTTTAAGAACGGTAAACCATCTATTTCTATGGGCCATCTATACCATGGCTATGTTAAATAACCAGAGGGTAAACTCACAAATTGGTTGTGTATGGCCATTTATCAGTTATAAGTATTTATAACCCCATTTATAGAATGTATAATCCCATTTATAACCAGTTATAACTGGTAAATGGCCATAACTGTACACATTGTTGTTTGGACCGTGAGGGTCAAGATGTACAGAACTCTCCGAGGCTTCGGCGACTCCCCGCTGCGACTGCCGCGGGGCTTCAACCGACAGGAGCTGGAACGAATTCAGCGTCTCGGCATCCTCGGGACAGCCTTATATCCTGGAAATTCCGTGTAAATCCAAAACCATCATGTCGAGGTTCTTTGAAAACATCCTATTTTTTCAGCAAGTATGGCAATGTGTATTTGTATCTTAAAATTCTACTATATAATACTATATAAAAGTATCTATAAGTAGAAACCATCCACAGAGGTGGGCCGCAAGTGGAGATTTATGGCGTTGGCTTTGCGACATTGAATGAATGGCATGTAGGTGCACAATAACCTGTGGCGTATCCCAGCTTTAAGGTGTCATGTTCCTATATACCCTCTGGCTATTGAACATAGCCATGGAAAATTGCCCATTTATAGATGGTTTACCTATTAAAAATGGGTGGATTTTCCATGGCGAACTGTTAATCATAACCATATTAAAAATGGGTGGATTTTCCATGGCGAACTGTTAATCATAACCATATTAAAAATGGGTGGATTTTCCATGGCAAACTATTAAATAACCAGATGGTAATATATACTAACCATCAATCCGAACTTCCAGGGGCACCCAGGTTTTTTCACTAGACATGGGCCATGCAGATAGCAATGCCTGGACCACTGGATTCCAGGGATGCAGCAAGTTGGATGGTATGCTGATGGCTGGTGAAAAATGACCCAAAAAAACAACGAGGATGGCAAGCAAATAGATGAGATGTTGATAGATGTTGATATCATATAGTACTCTACATAACTTACATAACCCATATGTTGCCATATAAAGTTGCAATTTTCAGGTAGGATAGAGGAGTAATGATGTTTTTGCAGTGTATCTAAAGTTAGCCATCATGTGATGGCAACTTGGATCTTATCATTAGATGGAGTTACAGAGCAAAATTGAAAAACCAGATTGTTTTTGACATGCAAATATATATATATGGGTTTCCTGTAACAATTTCCTTCAAACAAGTCTGGCAATTTTTCACCGTCGCATTTTCTTTCTTGTTGATTATTAAGGTGGGTGAAAGGGACGAAAGGGCCCCGACCTTCATGTAAACAGAAGTTGAGATGTAATCTGGGAAGAGTACCAAATACATTGATTATGTGCTTATTGTTTCGAGACATTTGTATATTGATTGTTTGTTTATTCAGTTATTCATGTGTTGATGATATCTCATGTGTTGGAACATGTACAATAGATGATCTATGGTTTGTCGAAATCATCCCGCATATGTTCCATGTGGTTTCATAAAAACTATGTACTGTACTTCATATCTTCATGTTATTTCTATATATTTCCATCACTATATAAGTACATAAATTGGAAATATGGCTTCGTATCATCATGACTTCCATATTTCCAATGTTCTTTTTTTAATTCATATCATTACTTCCATATGTCCAATGTTCATTGTTTCCATATGGTTTCATCATTTATCATATGATCAATATTTCCATATGGTTTCATCATTTATCATATGATCAATATTTCCATATGGTTTCATCATTTATCATATGATCATTATTTCCATATGATTTCATCATTTATCATATGATCATGATTTCCATATGGTTTCATCATTTATCATATGATCATTATTTCCATATGGTTTCATCATTTATCATGTGATCAATATTTCCATATGGTTTCATCATTTATCATATGATCATTATTTCCATATGGTTTCATCATTTATCATATGATCATTATTTCCATATGATTTCATCATTTATCATATGATCATTATTTCCATATGGTTTCATCATTTATCATATGATCTTTATGTCCAGATGGTTTCATCATTTATCATGTGATCAATATTTCCATATGGTTTCATCATTTATCATGTGAGCATTATTTCCATACGGTTTCATCATTTATCATATGAGCATTATTTCCATATGGTTTCATCATTTATCATATGATCATTATTTCCATATGGTTTCATCATTTATCATATGATCATTATTTCCATATGGTTTCATGATTTATCATATGATCATTATTTCCATATGGTTTCATCATTTATCATGTGATCAATATTTCCATATGGTTTCATCATTTATCATATGAGCATTATTTCCATACGGTTTCATCATTTATCATATGATCATTATTTCCATATGGTTTCATCATTTATCATATGATCATTATTTCCATATGGTTTCATCATTTATCATATGACCATTATTTCCATATGGTTTCACCATTTATCATATGACCATTATTTCCATATGGTTTCACCATTTATCATATGACCATTGTTTCCATATGGTTTCATCATTTATCATATGATCATTATTTCCACAGTTTTTATCATTTATCATATGATCATTATTTCCAGATGGTTTCATCATTTATCATATGATCATTATTTCCATATGATTTCATCATTTATCATATGATCATTATTTCCATATGGTTTCATAATTTATCATATGATCATTATGTCCATATGCTGTCATCATTTATCATATGATCATTTTCCATATGGTTTCATCATTCATCATATGATCATTATTTCCATATGGTGCCATCATTTATCATATGATCATTATTTCCATATTTGTTCATCATTTATCATATGATCATTATTTTCATATGGCTTCTTCATTTTTTATATGATTATTATTTCCATATGGTTTCATCATTTGTCATATGATTATTATTTGCATATGGTTTCATCATTTATCATATGATCATTTTCCACATGGTTTTCATCATTTATCATATGATCATTATTTCCATATGGTTTCATCATTTATCATATGATCATTATTTCCATATGGTGGTATCATCATTTATCATATGATCATGATTTCCATATGGTTTCATCATTTATCATATGATCATTATTTCCATATGGTTTCATCATTTATCATATGATCATTATTTCCATATGGTTTCATGATTTATCATATGATCATTATTTCCATATGGTTTCATCATTTATCATATGATCATTATTTCCATATGGTTTCATCATTTATCATATGATCATTATTTCCATATGGTTTCATGATTTATCATATGATCATTATTTCCATATGGTTTCATCATTTATCATATGATCATTATTTCCATATGGTTTCATCATTTATCATATGAACATTATTTCCATAAGGTTTCATATTTCATCGTTTAAATGTTCAGAGGACCCCACCTTGGGACTATCAGATGACCACAGTTTCAGATGGATCTGCCAACTCCATCCTACGCTTTTTCAGGGAGCACACAACACATGCTCTGCATGTTGCTGTAATACCCTCTGGTTTTTTAACATAGCCATGGAAAATGGCCCATTTATAGATGATTTTCCCATTTAAACCTCCATTTGTGAGGGATTTTCCATGGCTATGTTAAATAACCAGATGGTATATCATATAGCAACATGTAATTTATAACATATAACATTGCATACATATGAATCAACTACATACAATATCAGTATACACAATATATGTATATATATAATATAATGATGTGAATATAGTTAATTACATATACATATATATACACATATTCATTGGATATGATTTAATTATATATATATAATATAAACTAGACTCAGACCACACCCAAGCTGCGGAAAACACACAACACGACCCGCCATTAAGGAGCGAGGAGATGTCCGTGGGCGACGCCGACCGTAACGAGGCCATCTTTGACGGAGTGCTGAGCGACTTGGTTGGAGCTTTCCCAAGCGGATGGTGATCGGTGATACAAGGTGGTGCCCCCCAAGTGGTGTTTGTTGGTTTATAATCCCATTAACTAGTTCGATATATCTACCATAAGTCCTAGTGAAATTAGAGTTATAAACCAACTTAGCTGTCTTGGGGGCACCACCTTGTATAGTTAGATGGGCCATGGAGTTAGGGAAAACTATAGTTAGTAGCCATGGATTATTTCATTGGGATTTGTTTTGGGGTAACAAATCCCCAGTTACTAACCAGGAATCGCGTTTTTTCCATGGCCCATCTAAGTATCACATATGGGAAAAAACAACAGAGAATCACGTATCGGTTTCAACGACACATTAGCAAGAACATGGGTGAAAACGGGAAAAACACATCATATGGAAGATAATCTATGTTCTTCCGATATACTGTTACTAAGTATGAATGAAGATTTGGAATAACATTGGCTAAATTACTGCAACTGAAACAGTATCAATAATGTATGTATATAGATATGAAGATATAGAAAACCTGTGGCAATGGGAATTTCAGGATCCTAAAATGGAGGTACTGTACCATATAAGGCCATTTTTTGTTGGGATATTCCCTTACATAGGCCTAAAAAATAGGCCTTATATATGGTAGGTACCTCCAATAAATCGGTTCCTGGGTCATGGCCATTGACTGTGGCTTGCCTAGGAAATGATCTTTCCCAATGTTGGATGATGCTGGATTCTCCGTAGGGGATCATATATCCCTGCAATTGTAATCCCATCCCGCTATTATTAAACACCCCATAAATGGTCCCAATGATGTCCTACTAAACCATGGTATCTAAGGGGGTGTTTGATATTAGGGGGAAGGGATTAAGTTTCCGTTCCACTTCTTCCAGGTTTCTTTAACGGTATCGATCATATTCCAACTTAATCATGTACAGTATACGTACCTTTTTTCCATTGTCGATATTACTTGCAGGTAAAAAACTAGAAAAACATACCACATTGTTATGTAAAACAATGATATAACAATGTGGTTTATATATAATTATATATATATGTGAAACAAATATAAACAATGATACATATATATATATATAGCATTAATGATATCATTGCTTGCCAGTCCATAAAGGTAACGCCGCCCGTAAAGACGCGGGCTGTTTTGCACTCAGGCATTTCTGATGTGCTTCAGGACATGTGGCACAGCTGTCCAAAGGTCTTTGCCATTGTTGTATCTGTACTGCCAGCTGCAGGTCCATTGCCAAAGGCTTTGAAGTTAGTTGTGAGAAGATGTAGACAAGATGTTACAACGTAGCATCCAGAGCGTATCCGAAGTTAGTTACTGGAGAGAAGATGTTACAACGTAGCATCCAGAGCGTATCCGAAGTCAGTTGTGAGAAGATGTAGACAAGATGTTACAACGTAGCATCAACCTCGTCTCAGAAGTAAGTTACTGGAGAGAAGATGTCACAACGTAGCATCCAGAGCGTATCCGAAGTTAGTTGTGAGAAGATGTAGACAAGATGTTACAACGTAGCATCCAGAGCGTATCCGAAGTCAGTTACTGGAGAGAAGATGTTACAACGTAGCATCCAGAGCGTATCCGAAGTTAGTTACTGGAGAGAAGATGTTACAACGTAGCATCCAGAGCGTATCCGAAGTCAGTTGTGAGAAGATGTAGACAAGATGTTACAACGTAGCATCAACCTCGTCTCAGAAGTAAGTTACTGGAGAGAAGATGTCACAACGTAGCATCCAGAGCGTATCCGAAGTTAGTTACTGGAGAGAAGATGTTACAACGTAGCATCCAGAGCGTATCCGAAGTTAGTTGTGAGAAGATGTAGACAAGATGTTACAACGTAGCATCCAGAGCGTCTCAGAAGTAAGTTACTGGAGAGAAGATGTTACAACGTAGCATCCAGAGCGTATCCGAAGTTAGTTGTGAGAAGATGTAGACAAGATGTTACAACGTAGCATCAACCTCGTCTCAGAAGTAAGTTACTGGAGAGAAGATGTTACAACGTAGCATCCAGAGCGTATCCGAAGTTAGTTGTGAGAAGATGTAGACAAGATGTTACAACGTAGCATCAAGCTCGTCTCAGAAGTAAGTTACTGGAGAGAAGATGTTACAACGTAGCATCCAGAGCGTATCCGAAGTTAGTTACTGGAGAGAAGATGTTACAACGTAGCATCCAGAGCGTATCCGAAGTTAGTTGTGAGAAGATGTAGACAAGATGTTACAACGTAGCATCAACCTCGTCTCAGAAGTAAGTTACTGGAGAACGTTAACATCACCCCACCCCCCCCACCCCAACCCCAGCGTATGTCACGTAACGCTTCCAAGGAACGTTAACATCACCCCACCCCACCCCACCCCAACCCCAGCGTATGTCACGTAACGCTTCCAAGGAACGTTAACATCACCCCACCCCCCCCCACCCCAACCCCAGCGTATGTCACGTAACGCTTCACGTAACATCACCCCACCCCCCCCCCCCCAACCCCAGCGTATGTCACGTAACGCTTCCAAGGAACATTAACATCACCCCACCCCCCCCACCCAGACAACCCACAAAAAGTATGAACGCAGTAAAAAAACGTTAAAAAACCCCGCGTCTCTACGGGCGGCGTTAGCATAAACAATGATACATATATATATATATATATATAGCATTAATGATATCATTGCTTGCCAGTCCCCCCAAAGACCACGGTAACGTTGCGCAACGTTGCGCAACGTCGCGGCCGCACCTCTCAAGGTCGGCAGAGCTTTGATCGGATGCTCAGTGGCTTGGCGCAGCTCCAGAGGTCTTCAGAGGTCTCCAGAGCCCATGGACCCATGGAGAGGTTGCCCCAACCTTTGACGAGCTACAGTTATGGCCCGAAATACCAGTTATAAGTACTTATACCCTATGGTTATTAGCCATGGTATAGATGGCCCATTTATAGATGGTTTACCTATTAATAGCATGGTGATTTTCCATGGCTATGTTAGTCATAACCAGATGGTAACCCCATTTATAGAATGTATAATCCCACTGAAATAACCAGTTATATATAACTGATAAATGGCCATAACTGTAGGGATGGGTATAACGTTGGTTACCCTCTGGCACTGGTAAACTAACGTAGCGAACTGGAAAGATCCACCATGTTTAATGGGAAGACTCACTATAAATGGCAATGTTCAATAGTTATGTTAAATTACCAGAAGGTATATTGGGTATAACTATTTCACCATATTAATGGGTACAACTATGGTTATAAACCCTCATAAATTGGAATATGGGGCCCCTACAACTATGGTATATAAGTTATATATCTACTTGTAACGGAACTGCACTTCCAAGTATGGATGGTAGTCGTAAGTGTCAATCAATATCGGGGAAAAAACCATGGGGAGTTTAACTACAACATTAACAATAAGATCGATTTTTATGAGAAAAGACAACACGTGGACAATGACATTGGGGGGGTTCAACATGTTTTCCCATATGTTGTTACTAAGTGTCAATGAATATTTGCGATAACATGGGATGGTCTTCTACAAGTTGGTGCCAATGGAAGCCGCAGAAAATTTGGTGATCCAACTCTCATATTCCAAGGTCCAAGGTGGTACAGTACCCCATAGTTAACCAAGTTGCCAAGTGGTCGAAAGAACTAGTTAAGCGTGGGTTTTATGGTAGAGATCAGTTTTCATGGGACTAAGTGGACAAAATTGGACAAACATAACTGAGGGTCAGCAGCACCACATAGGACATCATCGGACCACCCCGCATGTCTACTTGTCAGGTATTTCTGGTGGTAGATATAGCATGATATATAGCTATGCTTGACCCTCAAAGTATTCCGTTATAATGGGTAAAAGCATGACTTCTTGTTTCTCTGAGTAAAAACACCTATGTTACTGTATGTTACTATGTTTATGCCTCAGTAAATAAACACACATATAGACTCATATAGATATTGTCAGGAAAAGCAAGAACAACAAAATAACAACATGGCTTCCCTCGAAATGATGTTGTTCAATGCGTTACTCTCCATATATTTCCATCAAGACTTCTCCTATATATATATATACAGTACTTGTTGGTTATATATGTATATACAAATTCTATATATATATGAAGTTATCCACTTATCCAATTACATTCAATTCCACTTCTCCCATCGCTCTTATTCAATTCTCCCTGTTTCGGGTTCCACTCAGGTCGGCAACACTCCCCGCTGTCGTCCTACGTCTCGGAATACTCCCAGGGCATGGCCGTCTTCGAACAAAGTACCGAGCTATTGCTGTCGCCGGGCGCAGGGTCTCGGAGGATCTTTTGGGAGGTGTCCCTCTATGCCTATAGATGTTTGATGTGTGTTTTTTGTATGTGTTTAGTTCATGGTTTTCTTGAAATTATAGTTTTTCATGATTTTTTCCGATGAGTTTTTTGGGATTGAGAAGGGCTGAGAATCAACTTGTTTTTTTGAATGATGGTTCAACTGCGTTCAACTGCGCTTAAGCGCTTTAAATAGTAGTGTTGATAGGAAATCATTGGGAAGTAGAACCAAACTGTTGATCCAACTGGGTTTACCCAAAAAATCTGGCAATGAATAGTCTGGTTGATTGCGACAATGGTAACGACTTAAGTGAACCGATCGTTGCCATGGCTGCCATGCGAGTGGGCGTTGCCATCCTTGGTGGTCCACCCCACTGAGGAAACCTGGCCTTCAGTGGCCAAGAAAATAAGTTGAACCAAGTAGGAATATTATATATGGCTATGGATCAATACCTATACATACCATTTTTAGGGGGATGAACATCCATTTACCAGCTATTTTGATGTTCACCAGGGGTACAAGGTTTTGACACACTGCCATATATATATATATATACTGGTTGATGGTTAATAGGAAAACCATAGGAAAACCATAGGAAAACCATAGGAAAACCATAGGAAAGTTAAAACCATAGGATAGTTATAATATACTGATGGTTAATACTGTACTGATCAATGATGGTTAATGATGGTTAATGATGGTAAATGATGGTAAATTATGGTAAATCATTGTTCATAAGGGTTAATTGTGGCTACCAACAATCTGGTTGATGGTTTGGAACATGGCTTGTATTTTTTCCATAGTATATGGGAATGTCATCATCCCAACTGACTTTCATATTTTTCAGAGGGTTGAAACCACCAACCAGTATATATATATATAACGGAGTATGATAGCCATGAGTGTGGATAAACTGATGTAGGAGAGAGGCAAGAAACACTGCGATCAACAAGAAAAGATGGATACATGCAACTGGCAGCTGGCACGTTGGATGCAGGGCTAGCCGAGAGCAGGGATTCCCTATCGTCCAACTATAGTAGGATCTAGTGGTGCTAGTAGCTCTGGGAATTAAAGTTGTGCTGGGCACTGCAGAAAGAATTCTTTACGGGCTCTGGTGATCTCTTTGTTTTGAGATCCATTTACTTGTTTGATATCCATTTACTTGGGGTACCAATGGACCCCTTAGTCATGTTTACTATTTTACAATCCATCTTGGGTAAATTAGTTTGACCCATTCCCTTACAATCTGATTGATGTGTTAAACCAATCGCCGAGCATACCTAATATTATAAACCTCAAACAACGAGGGGGTTATATTTTGGGGTTCACCAACATAGGCAAATGATAGCCCTACATTACTTGGTACATGTTCAGCCCTTTTGGGGTGCTGGGAACAACCCTTTTCCAGGCTTCACTCGCTGGTACTCCACGAAACCTGCTCCCTGTAAGGAGCACCGCAGAAAACGCGCCCAAAGAAAGCCATGTGCCCCTTGGCTGCGGTTGAGTCTCCTCAGCTGACCTCAGCTGACCTCACCAAAATAGGGGAGGCAACCGACAGTTTCCAACCACCATGGTTGGTGAAGTTGTGGACCACTGGACACAGAAAAAATCATCTGAGGGGCAATAAACTTTGAGCCATAACCTGCCAGGCATGCAGTTTATCAGACTTCGATGTTCCTCGAAATGGCATGAAATTGGTACTTTCTATTGAAGATTTTCATCAGCTCCCAGTCACATGAATCAAGACATAGGGATTTAAGCCGCACCAAAAAAAAAGGCTTCGCCAAGAAACACAACGGTATCTGAGCAATATGTTCAGTGATTCACGGTCCAAACACATCGGAGATACCCAACCAAACTCAGGAGTTTAACTAACAAAACCTACAATGTGGAGCACCCCCAGTGATGTGAACGTTGGTTTATAAACCCCATGAATACTATAGTTATAAGATGTTATTTGCGTACCATAAACCATAGTGACATTGGAGTTTTGTTCACCAACTGAACGCTATCTTGGGGGCCACCCCAGTTATGTTTGTTGATTTATAACCCCCGATGAATACTAGTGCCTTGATCCTAATGAGTCTAACCAACAAAACCTAGCAAATTAACCATCTGGTTGTTTAACATAGCCATGGAAAATGGCCCATTTATAGATGATTTACCTATTAATAGCATGGTGATTTCCCATGGCTATGTTAGTCATAACCAGATGGTGTGTATATATATATACAGTATACCCTCTGGTTATTTGGTACGTAGCTATGGTATAGATGGTCCATAGAAATAGATGATTTACGTTATTTTATCTACCGAACTCAAAAATAGTGGTTTTCCATAGCTATGTTAAATAACCAGATTGTATGTGGAATTGGTAAACTTAATGATCAGCCTTTAACTTTGGAGGGGTTAGACAAGCCGTTTCTGGTGAAATTGGGGGTGCGGTTTATTCTTGGATTTTCCCATAAACAATGGTGATTTTCCATGGCTATGTTAATTAACCATTAAAGATATGGCTAAGCCTCCTTGGTGAAGACACTTTTCGACAGAAACTTCACGACGAGGTGGCCTCCCAGCCCGGAGCTGCTGCGCCTCAAGCGGCTCATGTCGTTGTTGCTGGAGTATGGTGCGCATTTGGGGATGGGAATGTTATGTGGGTGTATATATATATATTGTATTGTATTATATATAATATATATTTACATTGTATAGTATAATATAATATAATATAATATATATAGATATAGATATATTCCATTATACATATATATACACATATTATAGTAATATAATACTATAGTACAGTACATACATTGTAAGGTATACATATACACAGATTGCCATATTGTTGCGGATACATCTGGGATGATCTTCAAGCTCCGACCCCATGTGGAAATCTGCAGCAGCGGAATGAACTATATTATAATATACTGATGGTTAATAATGGTCAATGATAGTTAATGATGGTTGATGATGTTAAATTATGGTTAATCATGGTTAATCAGGGTTAATTATGGTTAATAACAATCTGGTTGGTGGTTTGGAACATGACTTTTATTTGTTCCATCATATTGGCAATTCCATCATCCCAACTGACGAACTCATATGTTTCAGAGGGTTGAAACCACCAACCTGAATATATTGGATGGTGAAACTAACATATAATATAATATAATGAATAGTGAACTGTATAAATTATATATTTGAACGGAAAAACTGCCTTGAACCTTTTGGTGAAACAGGGGTGTGTAAAAAATGGGTAAGTTCGACAAGGCGCGTGATGAAACCGTTCGCAGAGTCCGATAGGCCGGAGAAATGCTGAGAGAAATGCCAAGTTCTTTCCTGATCAGCTGGTTAATTCTACCCCATAAGATTTCCAAGAATACTCTACGATAAGATGGATTAAAATAGAGTATTCCTGATCATATGATGGATATGATGGATAAGATTTCCAAGAATACTCTATTTTAATCCATCATATCATATCCAAATAAAATGGTTGGTTTTATCCCACCCAGGTGATCCCTATGTACCTGGAATTTCATCACATCATGGTTCTTGCTTAAGTTCCATTAAACCATCATTGTTCTTTTATATATATATACATACATGTTATAAATTCCATGTTTGTTGGTAAAATCCCAAATATGGTAAATATACTAATATAAATCCGGAAAAAAAAAAAAAACATTTTCGTGACATCCCTTTTTCAAGTGGCCAGTTTCGGGATGTCCTTTCGATTGCCAGGTGGCGACCTGTCGTCTTTGTCGAAGGACTTGGCCACGGTGGGGCTGCAGGGCGAGCTGAAGCACTTGGAGTTCCGACGTCGGGATGGGCATGGGATGGTCGTGGATATATCGATTAATTAATGTGGGTAAAACAATAATAAACCATCCACCAAATCATAAATAGGTGGTGTAAGCCCTTCCCAGTCATGTGTGGTTGATGATTGTTTTACCCACATTAATGTTTAATGGTATGTGTATGTATATATATATATATGGGTGTGGTTCAAAATTTAACACCTGGACCAGAGATTTTAATCTATTTTTAATATTCATCGTCCGTAGGGACACATAATTTGGACCCATACCCATACCTGGATATGGGCATTCATTTTATAGGCAGCGTCTAGTCATTTTATAGTGAAAACCATTTTAGAACTATGAAACGGCTGACAAGACCCCCCCGGGGAATGTGGATGGGGGTGCAATCTAGTGAAGATAGAATGGGGATACACACATATATATATACATATGTATATATATATATATATACATGTATATATATATATATGTTAGGTGATTTTCCATCCCTTCCCCCGTTCGCCACTTCATCACCCCCAAACGAAACCATGGTGGATATTGATGTGGGGGATGAAACCTCATACTTGGGACCATAGAATGGGGGTGTTTAATATGAACGGGGATAGGATTATTGTTCCATGACTATAATTATGATGGTATGTTTTTACTAAATATATCATGTTATTGTTTCTGGATGATATAATTATTAGATGATGACATTACTTAATCGTTGCCCCTGGTTTCTGTTGATTATATCAGGTTCGCTATCATATAGTAACCCCTCAAAAGGAGAGAAACAGGTCAAATTTACGGCTACTTTGGTAGGATTTATATAACCTGCTTGTTTCTTTTGAGGGGGTTTGATATGAAAGAATAGATATATACACACTAAATGGGAAATCCGCACCACGAGTTGTGATACACTCAGCAAACATGCAGATGTTGGCAGCTGCTTTCAATGTGTTTGATGATTTCTAGGGACCTTATGGCTTGACAAAGCAGATCTGGTTGGGAATGCATTTTCCAAACCAATGGGGTGTTTCTCGCGAGGGTTTGAAATCAACTTGGGTTAAGGAGATGTAGCAGTGACTTGGAAGTGTTCCATCAGTGTACCCGTGGCCAGGTACCCGTGGCCAGACCATCCAGGTTTTGCTTCCATTTATCCACAAAAATCACATGGAAAGTGTCATTGAAATATCAGTGTTGTTTCTTTTGTTGAAGGATCCTATTTTGCATCTAGGATTACTGCCATCCTTCACACATATCCTTTCTCATACATAAATAGTCTGAGTCCGGTACTCGCAGCCCATCATATAAAGTGGTGCCCGCAGTTCTAAGTTGGTTTAGTGCTACCAATTCATAGATAAACCCAAACATTGGCCAAACTTAGCACCGCACTGTAGTAATAGGCCATGATCCTATTCTGATTCTACATCCAGTCTTGTTGTCCTGAAGATATAATATCTGTTCATTAAAAACCCGATGTTCTCCACAAAATACCATAATTAGCCATCAATTTTTGCTGAATTTCCCCATTTTGACATGGCTTACCCAACTCACTAATACCAGCCTTATAGCCACAAATCGGTGCTAAGTCCAAATCCTCCTGAAAGCTCCGCTCAGGCTAACGCCTGATCAGAAAAGCAGACTGCCGCTGCCAGAGCACCTCCTGTTGCGATGTGAATTTTTGAGGGCGGGAGTGGAGGATGAACGTGTTTTTGGTGTGCCCTCTGGTTGTTTGAGCAGCAAAAAATATCATTTAATGATAATTTGAATTGGAATTAACATACAGAAATATTGATTTAATGTGATTTTAATGGGATCTAAGGGTGTATATATATATGGCCACCCCCATTACCAGGGCCTACCTTGAGCTTTTTATCGTGGTATTTGCAGCAGAAAAAACAATTATTTTCTTGTCCAGCTTTTGTGTGATTTGCACACTACCACAGAAGTAGGGTACAGCTTAACTATTGTTTTCTTGCAGTTCCTCAATTGCCACCTGGTTACTCCACATCCCAAGACTCCGAGGTTGCCTTCCCTTCAAAGTCAAGTAGCCTTTGTAGATAAATTAGGGTGAATTAGGGTCATGTTATATGTTGTTCAAAACATGGTTCGCTTCTTTCATTGGGATGTAGTACTGCAACACAATCACATGGAAACACTAGAATAGTGTCTTCCCAGACTTCAAAACAATATATGTCTACTTGTAAGTTTGTTTTGCCACACAAAAGAAATGATAAATATTCTGCCTGGGAACTACATGACTTGAACTTCTCCACTGCAATCTTGCGTTGTTTGTCGAAGCATTCTACTGGATGCATTTTGCTTTCCAAGATGAATCATATTTAACTTAGAATAATATGGATTAATTCTAGGGATCAAATCCTTGATCAAAACCAGAAAGAAAGAAACAACGTTTTGGATGACCTACTTTGGGATGGGGGAGGGGAGAAGGCTCTCCAATGCATTGTGTTTTTATTCATTTAGTTTTGCTTTTGTTTTTCTTGTTTTTTGTTTGTTTTTGTGTTTTTTTGGCAGATAGCAGATAGCAGATGGTTGACCTTGCAATGAAACAGTCAATGAAATAGACAAAAGGTAGGCCCTGGTGGGGGGATGGGCATATACATATACCCTCTGGCTATTTAACATAGCCATGGGAAATGGCCCATTTATAGATGGTTTACCTGGGTTTACCTATTAAAAATTGTGTATTTCCATGGCTATGTTAAATAACCAGATTGTTTATATATATATATATACACAATATACCCTCTGGTTATTTGATACATAGCTATGGTATAGATGGTCCATAGAAATAGATGATTTACGTTATGATTTACCGAACTCAAAAATAGTGGTTTTCCATAGCTATGTTAAATAACCAGAGGGTATGTGGAATTGGTAAACTTAATGATCAGCCTTTAACTTTGGAGGGGTTAGGCCAGCCGTTTCTGGTGAAATTGGGGGCCCGGATTATTTTTGGATGTGCCATGTTTTACAGTAAATTGTATTACCCTCTGGTTTTTTAACATAGCCATGGTATAGATGGCTCATTTATAGATGATTTTCCCAGCTATAAACCTCCATTTATAAGGGATTTTCCATGGCTATGTTAAATAACCAGATGGTATAATCATTATACATTAATCATACAGTGTCATTCTCCAAATTTCGCAATTCATCAATCAGCTATGACATTTCTTCAGATTGAAATGTGCCGTGAATCCTGGTCGCTGTGGGCCAGCGGTGATTTAACCAGTCCAGGGGATGACAGGTTGAAGCCCTCAGAGAATGTCAGTTGTTTAGGCGTTGCGGGTGATTTTAGGCTTAAAGGATTTTAGAGTACCTCCCACCAAACACGCGGGGATTTTCGGGCTTACCCTTCATCAACCCCATACAATGTAGATATGGTAATATAACATAATATAACAACATATTACATTATGTATACTGGTTGGTGGTTTGGAACATTTGGATTATTTTTCCCATCATATTGGGAATTTCATCATCCCAACCGACTTTCATATTTTACAGAGGGGTAGGTATACCACCAACCAGTTACATTATGTATATGATACAATTAACAAAAACAATATATATATACACACAATATATTACATGTATAATTTATATATATATACAATAAAAATAAACTATTGTGGACCTTTGGTGAGCTTCCCTTGTCCGGGACGCTTGACACGCTGAGGGCGCCGAGTATCAAACCCTGCACTTCGGGGAGTCTCGAAGAGCTGCAGGTACGGGTCCACGGGTCCACGGGACCACGCGCAAGTGGAAGTGTAGAACTCACCATTTTTGTGGGGATATACCCGCTGGTAAACTAACGTAACTGATGGGAAAATCACCATTTTTAATTGGAAAACTCACTATTTCTATGGCCATTTTCAAAAGCTATTTTGACATAACCAGAGGGTAATGAGGGTACAATATGGTACCATGGGATATATGTATTATGCAATATGTATATATATATATATACACCAATGATATTGTTCTTCCAGAAATTGGTGATTTAACCAATTTAACCCCAGTCTATTCCAGGCTGTGGAACATCATGTTTAACATTGTGAAAAACCATGACATGGGACCTGGGACCGCCATTGTTCGAGCTGCTGGGGCAGATATTTTCAGGCCATGTTTGATGACACCGGAGGGTTTTTTTCGGCCATGTTTCTCCCCTTCGAAAAATCCACAGACCGACTAATTCTTGCAGAATCACAACCCACAAGTGGAAGAACCAACTTTGTTTTCGCAAACTGTTGGGTGTATGGCGCATGGTGGACGTATTTCTGCTTCCATGATGAACGTAGCCAAATTGTATAGAAGTGAGCACCCTGACAGTATTGTTCATACCAGTCAATCTAACTCGTGATACAGCATGCAATATATTATGATACTAACATAACTGGGTCAACACAACACGTTAACAAAAAAAAAATCACAAAAAATGACATCGATTTTGGAAATAATCCATGGTTTTCCATGTGTCAAAATACAATTCATGGTTTTCCATGTTTTTCCCCATAGTTTTCCATTCTTGAAACACGTCATGCTGATCAAAATACATTTTAAAAAAAAGTCGTGTTGTTCACCCCCAGCGCAGGACCATGTCGTGGTCTACGGTGGCGATAGCAGCAGTACCCTGCCGGCCACGGTGCGGATGTTGCAGCTGCGGCAGCCAGGGGTGGAGGCAGCGTCGGACAGTCGATGCGATTGACCCTCAGGGCCTGTCAGGGTAAATTTGATCACGACCTCACTGGTCTCCCGAGCCCTGGAATCATATGGTCAATAAATGTTAAGAAGGGAAATCATCCCCAAATTCATCTGATTTCAGGTTAGTGAATCATGGTGAATAAGGGAAATCATCTCCTTAAATGGCCCAAGAATTCAGGTTTTTCGGCAAACCGAAAACAGTCCGCTGAGTCATCACTTGGGCCTCAGGGGCAGGGTGATGGCTTCTTTCTTAAGGTGAAAGGCCTTATTTCAGGTAAGTGAAATATTATAATTTACCCTCCATTTGTGGGTCATTTCTGGAAACCATGGCTTTTCCCACATGTTTTTTGGTATGTTTACCCTAAGCAACATATGGAGCTTTCGCTCGAAAATTCACCAAGACAAACAATGGAATCCAAAATCAAAAATAGGGAACGCAATAACTGGATGGGTAGTATTCAATGCTTTCTTTGTTTGCTGTAAACATGAAGTTATATTATATATATGTATATAAATACCTATATATATATATGATTATAGACTAAAGATCTAAAAAACTTTTTTCAAGGTATCTAAGATTCCGATAGATTTCGAATGTTGTTTTTGTTCAATGGATTTGGGGTTGACCAAAAAGCAGTATGTAAGGTACTTAGTTTCTTGAGAACACCCATGTCCTTAAATGTCGATTTCCTACTGGTTGATTAGAGGGATCAACCCCCAAGCAGTAGATGATACTATATGCTACTAACCAAGAGTACAGCAGCTGCTGAGACTCAGAAATCTTTCGTGAATCCAATAATTGTGTATATATATATACAAGGTGTTGCCCCCAAGATAGCGTTCAGTTGGTTTATAACTCCAATAACTATGGTTTATGGTACTTACAACTATAGTTAATGGGGTTTATAAACCAACAAACATAACTGGGGGGCCCCACCTTGTAGAACCCAGATCGGATCCATGGTGCTGCTTAATATATGGTGTGCCATGGATCCCATCACTATACCCCCTTTATGTTAGCATATATATACCAGCACCATGGATCCTATGGGTACTATTCAGATCTCGGAAAAATGATCCTATCTTGCCAGGTGGTGATTCTGAGCATGGACATGCACGAGGAGCGCAATCATAAGATTTGGCAGGATATCAACTTAGACACAGCCGCTGAGATGTTCGAAACATTTTGGGGGGGGCCGGTATTGAGGGAAATGGAAGAAGATGGATTCGGAATCAGCACTTATCCCCACTTTCTGTCTTGCATGTTTTTTTTACACCTATGACAAGTATATGAAAAAAAAAATAATCCAATCCCTATGAAAAACCAATGGATAGACTGGGAGAACGTAGTTTTGAATGGGTTATGGATGAATAGAACCCCAACATTAGTTTTTGGCGAATGATAAGGATCAAAGTGCGATCTGGTTGATTCATGGGAGAAGCGTCAGAGAGTGAAGAAGCTTCATAGTGAGAAGTACCCTCTGGTAAACATACAAAAAACTATGGAAAATCACCATTTAGTTCGTGGATTCTCCCATGAAAAATGGTGATTTTCCATAGTTTTTTGTATGTTTACCAGAGGGTAATGCGAAAGTACCAATGAAACTCCCCGGGGACAATTCAGATTTGATATGTTCCAGTTGGACTGGACCATGACCCGATCCCTGGAAGCTACACCAAGGTGGTTGTCCAGTTGAAATTCATGGTCTCATGGCCATCTTGTGATGTTCGATGACCGCATCTGAGTTTTTGATGCCCATCACAACACAAAAGACAGTGAGTATGACACAAACCAAGCGGGACATGGGGACATGGGCTTTAAGCCGATGTCTAAGAGTTTGGCCAACCATTCCAGCGCCAAATCTTCAAGGAGACGATTTCGGTGTCCAGACAGCATGATTTGTTGGTGAAACATGGTGAAACCATTCAACAGCATCGTCATAAGTCATATTTTATCTACCATGCCGGGATATTCCATTGTTTCATGTGTATGGTTCTATCAATTCTAATATTTTATCTATTTTATCTACTGTACATAGTTCTATTCCATTTGTTTCATTGGTTCCTCTAGATACCGAACTCAGTTCTAGAAATGGCACCTCTCGGCGGTTGCTCACTACCTGATTCTGAGTCATTGCTCTCATGAGAACTAACCTAGGTCATCTGCATATAATTGCTGTAACTATTTCGATATGTGAAACCAGTCCAGATGGCCAGGTATATATATATACATATTATCTACATAGTTATACACGTGTACACACCAAACCACATAGCGATATTTATATGTATATATAGATATACACATCAAAATCATATGTGTATATATATATATGTATATATATATGTATATATATCTATGTATATATATATATATGTATATATATGTATGTATATATCATGAAGTATAGTCAAACCAGTCTATAAATCCAGCTACTTCTATTCCACAATCTAATACAATATCTATCCACAAATACATGTCACCAAATGTCAGAACAGCAACCACCGTTCCAACGTTCCAACGGTCTCTTTTTCGTTCCAAGGTCCACTTTGCAAAGCAGTTCCTGCATCATCACCGGGACCTGCGCGGCGGTTTTCTCCACCGGGCCAAGGTGCACACCAGCCTCCAGGAATCCGAAAAGCTATGGAAAATGGCCATAGATCATAGAAAGAGTGGATCTACCCATTTACAAAATGGTGATTTTCCATCGTTATGTAAACGTTTCGCAGAGGGTATACCATGATACCATACACCTACACATCGCATCTTTGCTGGGGATGAACATTCATTTGCTGTGGTGGATGATTTGTTCGCAGGGTAGGTAATTTGCCAAACCCAAAGCCACAGACGATTCTCGTTGATCAACCATTGAAGCTAGGAGTTTACACCATCCCAACTAGGGAAACACCCAACGAAAAAACCACTTGATTCACTTGATCCCTGGGTTGATCAACAACCAACCATAGTTATCCAGGAATCCATTTATAGATGGGATAAAACATAGAGAATAACCCAGAGAATAACCATAGTTAGTTTGCCATGGGCTCACCTCATCCCCTCATGAAATCCAATGATCCACCAAGCCCTGTTAATCCCATGAAATCAAAGGGTGATCTCACATGAGGCCGTCATCATCCTGCCCTTGATCGACAAAGACATGCAAACAGCACCCGTGCAGGGCTGGGAACTTCGGCGCATGGTGCCTTGAATCGCGATGCAGGGTGGAAACCGGGGTGCAACCGGCTGTAAAAGGTGCCTTCCCATCACCCTGGGCTGATCAAGAACCATAGTTACCATCTGGTTATTTAACAGTTTGCCATGGAAAATCCACCCAGTTTTAAGAACGGTAAACCATCTATTTCTATGGGCCATCTATACCATGGCAAACTGTTAGTCATAACCAGAGGGTATCCATTTATAGATGGGATAAAACCCAGAGAATAACCATAGTTGGTTTTTGTGGTTAGGAAATGGGCCAAACAAAAAAACTAACGGTTATACATGGGATCACACCGCATAAATGGTTCTAAGTGGAAATTCCCTACTAAACCATGGTTTCGTTGATTTTGGGGTGCTGAAGATTAGGGGCAAGGGATTAGAATGATTAGATAATTCCGGGAAAAATAGGTGATTGGACCATTGGACTTTTCGAATGATTTATTTGCAACATTGATGTGTGGTACTTAGATGGGCCATGCGATGTTGCCGATTCCTGGTTAGTAACTGGGGATTAACTAACCTTCAAACAATCCCAATGAAATAATCCATGGCTACTAACTAGTTAATAAACTAACACTATAGTTAATCTAAGCCATTTACTAACCAGTCACTATTAATTAAGCCAATATAACCCTCATTATAGATGGGTTAGTATAGCCAGTTCATAAACTCCATGGCCCATCTAAGTAGAGCTTCAGTTGTTTGACATCGACCACTTGGGAGATTGTTACAGGTCAACTTACAGATACCACGTTGGTGACAACAGGTCGACTCAATGACTGGGTGTGTCTGAAAATAGTGTAGCCCTAAACCCAATGGTAAATGATCATGATCCCTATATTAAATGGCTATAATTGGGAATATACCCTATTTTCAGACAAACCCATATGGGGAGATTGATGGAGGTTGGTTTACTGACAAATCATCAAACATCAAGGTGTGCGACAGTCAAACATGCTGATTCAAGCAATCAAAGTCATGCTTCAAGCAACATCAGTGAGCATGCAATTCAAACAACATGGATATATACTCTCTGGTAAATTAACAGTTGGACCCTGAAAACACATTTGTTTTGGTGGAAACTAGTCTTTCAACCCCATTTTTAGCCGGGGTCTATGTTAATTTACTGGAGGGTTTCTGTTTCCACCTGGATGATCATTGAAGTTTGCAAGTGGTTATTGACTAGACTATGACTCAAAAAATCACAAATTTTACAGTGCCCTGCTGATGTTGGGATATAAGTGATCTAAATTGGTATAGTATACTCACTAAACTTTAATCTTAACTAGTTGAATCATCCTAAGTATGGACGAAAATGTGCAGAACCCCCCTGATCAGCGGGGTCACACCTAGCTTGCGTTTAGATGTTGCCTCAGATGAACCTCTATTTGAGTTATAGTCCAAAAATGGCATACAGACCAGAAACGACCAAACCCTTTTCTTCAGCTGGGAAAATGCTTTGTTTTGATTCATTTTCGAAAAATGGGATCAATGACGACCTCATGACCAACGCCTTTTGTTACCCTCTGGTAAACTAACATAACTATGGAACATGACCATTTTCAATGGGAAAATCCACTATAAATGGTGATGTTCATTGATTTTCCATAGTTATGTTAAATTACCAGAGGGTAAGGAAAATGGCTAGTTCTAAGTCATTGGATTCCCCAACTTGTTGGCGACGAGGTGGACTCCGATACGATCCTCACGACCAACGTCATCGCCACGCGGAAGTGGACGAATCCCATCGAGTAGCCCCGGCGTTTTTTTTTGTTTCGGCGATCGAGTTGGGAGTGGCTAGATGGGCCATGGAGTTGGTTAACTGGATTATAGAAGTTTATATTGGCCCATCTATAATGGGTTAGATAAATAATAGTGACTGGTTAGTGACTGGTTATACTAACCCATCTATAATGAAGGTTATATGGGTATGGATCAATACCTATTAATACCATTTTGAGTGGGATGAACATCCATAAATCCCAGCTATTTTGATGTGAACAGAAGGGGTACAAGGTTTTGACACACTGCCATATTGGCTATAAATAGTGACTGGTTAGTAAATGGATTAGTTGATAGTGACTGGTTAATAGTGACTGATTAGTGGATTATAGAGGATTAATTAATAGTGACTGGTGAGTAAATGGGTTAGATTAACTATAGTGTTAGTTTATTAACTCGTTAGTAAATGGATTATTTCATTGGGATTGTTTGAGAGTGACAAATCCCCAGTGACTAACCAGGAATCGTTAAATCCCATGGCCCATGGCCCAATCTAAGTTTTTTGTTTTTTTTGCGCAACATACAGATGATCATGAACATGCATGTGGTCGTAACATATGGTTCTAATATGATCTAATATCGGATCTATTTGTCATAATCTATGGATATCTATGGCTAGGTGGTTTAGCCAACATTTTGGGATGAGTTTTATTGTATAACCATGATGTATAAGCAACCTGTTTTCGTGATTTGATGATATTATTACAGATATAGTTTGATAATATTTTACTATATCATGATATAATACCATTTTGTGATGATAACAGATATAGTTTGATGATATTATACATACAATTTATGGGATGATAGGTATCTATCAAGAAATAGATCTAGATGATAACATATATACTTGATGATAACAGAGTAAAGATACCAAACTAGAAAAATAGTATAGTTTGATGATAACAGATATAGTTTGATAATACATAGAGGGATGATTATATGGAGGTTTCCTAAAATAGGGGTACCCCCAAATCATCCACTTCTAGATGGGATTTTCCATTATAAACCATCCATTTTTGGGTTACCCCCCATTTATGGAAACCACCATATATAGTGCACATCAATCTACATAAATCTTCTTACATTGGCTACATGTCAATCCAATCGGTTGTTTTCTTACCTGGCCCAAGATATACACGGTACGACACGGTCGTAGTTGTCGATAAGTTGGGATGTACTTAAGTTTAAGTCCAATCATGGCAGCAGCAAATCCAAATACTACCCTCTGGTAAACTAACATAGCTATTGAACATGACCATTTATAGTGAGTTTTCCCATTGAAAATTGTGATGTTCCATAGTTATGTTAGTTTACCAGAGGGTAAACTGAGTGAAAAAAGGGCCATGTCTTTGTCACCCCTGCAGGTTTGAGGACGTTTGGACCGTCACGCAGCTCTTTCAGGCGCGGCAAGCAGCAGGGCTGGAGACATCACCTCAAAGCGCCAGCTATTGGTAAGATTATCAAGGAGCGGATTCAAAAGGTCATGATATAATTGGTATATGAACTGAGGGTCTAGAATCTAGAACAGATAAATAGATAGACAGATACATAGATGCGCATTTTCTCTATACACATGCAAACATGGACAGTCATAGATATCCAACTTATTCCAATTCAAGAACGTTGATAGCGTAAACAGCCCCTATGAAGCAAGCGTTAACATTCTTCGTGCATGATGATTGTTCCGCAGGAAGGATCTTTGAACCGATTCTTTGGCATGACTCTTGGCATCCGTTGCTGAAGCTTTCCCGGAAGGTAATCTACTGTGGCTGGCCATGAAAAGTACCAATCAACAATGACAATCTCAGTTTAACATCTTTTTTTGGTGCTTTCCAACATATGAAATATGGTTCTAGAATGTATATTTTATACATATATATATATAATATTATATAATATGTATATATATATATATTTAATATGTATATATATATATAATATGCATATATAATATATATATATATATTTATATAATTATATATATATGTCTATCTAGATCTAGATCTACTATTTGTAAAACGGCAAGCTCATAATATCACCATCCACGGTTCATCCATCGGGGCTTCAATAATATCTCCACCGTCACTAGTTTGTTCCTTTTTATGATAAGCAGAAACAAACGCCATGAAACACTTATTTGAATATGCTGGATCATAGCTGGATCATAGTGTTTGTTTCCTATGTATGTGCTATGAACACAGATACACAGTATATATATATATATATGTACATGATACATATATGTCTAATAAGTATAATATATCTAATTCATCTCACTTTTGTTGGTTTCGCTACATGTTCTTCTAGGTTTCGCAAACTCCATATACATATCCCCAACATTTTTCCCACTCACCGGCTTCACAGAGGATTTACCTATCATCTAGATTCTAGATGTTTATTGAGAACCTATACGAAATGTAGATAAATGATACCCTCTGGTTATTTAACATAGCCAAGGAAAATGGCCCGTTTATAGATGATTTTCCCATTAAAACCTCCATTTATAAGGGATTTTCCATGGCTATGTTGAATAACCAGATGGTAGATATATCACCCTCCAGCTGTACGAGCAAATCCTATGAAAAATATCGACGGATCATGGGATGAAAAAAGGGGACATGGTGGTCACCTCAATCGCCCAGTGCCCCCCAGTGATGTTTGTTTGTTTATAACCTCCATTAACCAGCTTGATACGTCTACCATAAACCCAAGTTATGTTCACCAACTTAGCTCACAAAATCCCATGAAGTCCCATCAAAATCACCATTCTTCTCACTTAAATCCCATGACATCACCATTAAAAAAAATCACATCATTCAACTTGGCTATTCTCACCTTAATACAAACATCTTCATCCCCATGTTCCTCCCATTTACCCTCTGGTAATTTAACGTAGCTATTGAAAATGACTATTTATAGTGAGTTTTCCCATTAATAGCATGGTGATTTTCCATAGTTATGTTAGTTTACCAGAGGGTATTCACCATGTTTCTTCGTGGAAATCTCCCGTTGCCGGTGGCGCCGAGGAACCCGGAGGCCCAGGGCGCCACGTCGCTCTTCGAGGACCGCTGGATGGCCTCGGCGCCGCTGAACATGTCGCCGCTCTTCGCGGCGGGGCACGTCATCGCCACCACCACGGTGGATCGCTTCCTGATGGACGCCCGGCCGGTGGCCACCGGTGGGTTGGGATGGATGGGTTGGGTAGACGGGCCATGGTAACTATAGTTATTTTATGGATGATAATTGGTATATAGAGGGTTATAGTTATATCCCCAGTTGAGCAAAAATTCGAATCTACTTAGATGGGCCATGGGATTAGCGATTCATGGGATTTGTAACTGGGGATTTTATCTAAGCCTCAAAAAAACCCAATGAAATAATCCATTTACGAACTAGGTAACTAACTCCATGGCCCATCTAAGTATGTTTGGTGGTTTTCTTAGCTATGTTGGCGCCATGGTTGGCTTGTGAAGCCTATGCTTGTGAATAAGCTGGTGGATCGGAAGGGGGAACGGTATGGGGGATGGGGGATGGGGAAGCATGGGGGTTAATAAAGCCCATTAACTATACTTATCATAAAGCCTAGTTACTGGAGTTACAAACGAACTTATCTAACAAAACTTAGCTGAGTTGATGAGCATAAGTAAGTGAAGTCTATGGTTTATGGTAGATATGTCGAATCAATTCATAGGGTTTATAAACCAACGTATAAGTGTGGGGGCAGCACCTGGTAGGGATGGATGGGAGAGATGGGGGTTTGGTTGGGGAGTGGGCATGGGGCTAGGGATGGTGGAAATAGATGAAATAAAACATAATATTGTGTTGATGTATTTAAATTTAAATTGCACTCTGTCAGTTTATTTGTTTGGGGAAACAACTGAACAAGGAAAAACTGACGGTTTGCCTTCCCAAGAAAGTCATTACACAACAATTGTCAACAATAAAATCATATAAAATCCTTGATGTGGCAGTAAGCAACCAAGACTTGCCATCTTTAACCCAATTCCATTTCTATTGCACAGTAATGTTTGGACCCCAAAAAAATGTGGGCAAGAAACCAGATGTTCCTCCGCAAAACCTTGGTGTAATTGCCGGAACATCTTCGTTTTCCAATGGGATTCTACCCGGGTCGCCCACCAGCCCTTGATCCTTCAGAGACCTTTGAATATCAAGATGCTGCATGTTTGGCCAGATCCAATGCTTGAATCGGTGCACATCACCAAGCCATAGCAAACCCATTTTGTTGCATGTGGAATGAACGCCTGTGGCATGTGCAGCCGTTGAAGATTGTCCAGACTGGAAATGTTGAAGAAACACTATGGACTGTGGAGCGTTGATTGTCATTGTCAAAGGTCTTGTGTGCATATGTACAGTTTTGGCATGTCCTTTATGACAGCGTTTATCCTTGTTTCATCCAGCATGATTCATGCACTTTTTCTCCACATCTTTGTGTGGGGTTCCTGTTTTTGGTTCTGTATCCCGTCCACCTCTCCTCCTTCCGCGCGCTTCGTCACACACAACTTTGTCACACACCATCTTTCAAACACAACTTTGTCACACACACACCATCTTTCAAACACAACTTTGTCACACACCATCTTTCAAACACAACTTTGTCACACACCATCTTTTAAACACAACTTTGTCACACCATCTTTCACACACAACTTTGTCACACACCATCTTTCACATACAACTTTGTCACACACAACTTTGTCACACACCATCTTTGTCACACACAATCTTTGTCATACACACACCATTTTTCACATACAACTTTGTCACACACCATTTTTCACATACAGCTTTGTCACACACAACTTTGTCACACACCATTTTTGTCACACACAACTTTATCACGCACCATCTTTCAAACACAACTTTGTCACACACCATCTTTCAAACACAACTTTGTCACACACCATCTTTGTCACACACAACTTTGTCACACAGCATTTTTCACACACAATTTTGTCACACACCATCTTTCACATACGACTTTGTCACACACAACTTTGTCAAACACAATCGTTGTCACAACATCTTTCACACACAACTTTGTCACACACCATCTTTCACATACAGCTTTGTCACACACAACTTTGTCACACACCATATTTGTCACACACACACACAACTTTGTCACACATCATTTTTCACATACAACTTTGTCACACACCATCCACACACCATCTTTGCCACATCCACCTTCGGGAGCAGAAGCATCAGCCCCCCAGGCCATAATTCAATCATGTTCCGTGATGGCTACTAGCCTTTTCAACACCATGAAAAATCAGCCCATAGTTTCTCATCGGAAAAAAAAAACATGAAATCCCTGGATTTCGAAGGAAAGTTTCTTCGACCCGGACGCCATGATCATCGTGGAGCGTCTCTTTGGTCTGGCTGGGTTGCTGGGCGGCGACGGCCTGGGCGATTTTCTATCGGGATTTCATCATCTAATCATCAGTTCTTGGGATTCTATGGTGATTTCAGCAGCAGAATGTGGTGATTTATAATGGGATTTCACTATGAACCATGGTGAATTATTCGGATTTATCCATTCAAACATGTGAGCACCCTTGAGAAAAATAGACATGTGAGATACTGTGCCAAATTGTGCGGCAAAGTCGTGGCAATGGTCAATTTCCCTGATTTGTTATGTCAAAATTCTACTGAAACTGTAGCACTAGAAGAAACCTAGGAAACTAAAGATTGAATTCTACTGAGTATACTGAGTAGCAAATTACTTTTTATTTTTCGATTATTTTTTTTGTTGGGGGATGACCATCAGCAAACAAATATTGGATCGATTCCGCAAACATTGGATGAACATGGGCCAGCAACACAGCAAGACATGAGTAGTTGTACAGCTTCGTAAGTGGCACATGATAAGTACCGATATACAAGTGGTACTTGCAAAATTGTATCCACTTATATCCATGTGTTGAATTGGGGTGAATCAGTATACTCAGTTTTTTCCAGCCGTAGAAGAAAAATACATCTGGTTGGTGGTTTGGAATATTTGGATTATTTTTTCATTTCATATATGGGATGTCATCCTTCCCATTGACTTTCATATTTTTCAGAGGGGTGGCTCAACCACAACCAGATATGATTCGCTTCGGTGTCCAAGATCTCAACTGAGGTTGACCATCGGCACCAAGGTGGGACAGTGATTCCGGAGTAATCAGATACCCGAGATGGTACAGCAACACAACTGATGGGAAAATCACCATTTTTCATGGCTAAATCCACTATAAATGGCCATTTTCAATAGCTTTAATGTTTACCAGAGGTTTTGTATGTTTACATAGCAAACTGGAAAATCACCATGTCTGACATAGGTAAATCAACTATACATTGCAATTTTCGTTGTGTTAAATTACCAGAGGGTTATGTACAACAAAGAGAAAACTCAAATGGTGAGGACTTGAATGCTTGAGAGTCATTGGGGAGAAAGCTTGACGTGAATGGTCGTTGATCTTACTCGATTTGAGTGCTGTTTGATTGTCTTGTTTCGTTGATGGGTTGATTTAGTTTTTATAACTGGGTGGTGGTTTCGAACATTTTTTTTTATTGTTCCCATCATATTGGGAATGTCATCATCCCAACTGACTTTCATATTTTTCAGAGGGGTTGAAACCACCAACCAGAAGATGTCTCTGCTTGGCTTTGGGCAAATTGGACGGGATGGAGTGGACTGTTTTGTTTTGAATGCTGTCGTCATGATTTCCATCATGCTGGGTGAACACTTCACCAAGATTTTGCGAACGACGGGGGTTGTTGCAATTCAGCTCAAAACCAACAATGCAGATTCTCTAAGATTGACACCGTCATAATTGGTTGATATTGGTTGTATCATGTGTTATACCGATGATGTTGTTTAAACAGCGCCTTTTGCTGCTAAACATACTATGTTTTGCTTGTTGGTGTTTGTAAGATTTGACAACCCCCCAACAAATCCAACTTTCGTTAAAAATCCCTCAAATCACCTGTTTGTCGCTTAAATCCCATTATATACATATACTTACATATATATATATATATACATCACCACTTTCTTTGGTTAATTTCTGTTGTTTTACCAGCGGTTTCGTTGCGTTTTTGTTGCGCAAAATGGTGAGCCATTGCTGGATCCGGTTAGGCCAAAGGTGGCTTGGGCAGCTTGAGCAACGCGACTCTTGGCAGAAAGTCCTCGCCAGCTTCATCACAGGTGCATCAATGTGAGATATAGTGGATATGATGATGTATATATACTTTGATATATATATATATATGATTATATATATATACAGTATAATAAATATATAGATTATAGATTTTGTTGCGCAGTGCAATATAAATTGTATCCTTATTATCCTTATTACTTTTTATATTCCCCTGTAGCACTGATATTCATCTATAAATCTATGATATGCTGCAAAATTCCATCATGTTCTGGGGTATAGGATCTTGTAACCGTGCTTACGTGTTTGTTCCAGCCCTCCGTAGCAAAAAAATCGAAGGGACCATATTTAGATCCATTTATATATCATTCACCCAGACCCTCCAAATACCTCAAGACAATGATATTCAAGACAATGATATAAGTAGTAAACTTGTAAACAAAAACACATTTTTTGATGGTACTTGGATCTAGGTATACATATATATATATATATTATACATCTATATTATATTATATAATATATATTATATTATATAATATATATTATATTATATATAATGTATATTATATTATATATATATATTATATTATATATATATTATAAAAAATATTGTATATATAATTTATATAATTTATAATATAATTTATTTATTAATTATATATATTATAAATATTATATATATATATATATGTATTGAGAATTCAATAGGGGATATCAGCCCTACACCTAGACACCCTGTCTATCCGCAAGCCAGTCTGTTTCCTTTTCCACTCAAAGTCCCGATCCCACCCACCTCGACCTAGAGCCATGCATGTGGCACGGCAAGACCGGCGATTTGAGGTTGCATGTCATGCATGAGTCCAATGGTGTCCACAGGTGTCCCAAGAAGTCAGCACTGATGAAATGGATGATCTCATGTGGTCAAAATCACACTCGTCAAAATCTCAAAATTTTGAAACTTTTGTTTCCATGTTCTGCATGAGATCATGTGCTGGCTTCTGCACCTTGGCCTCCTGCTCTGACAGCCACTTCAAACGCTCACGCTTATCGGCTCTTTGTCGCAGAATGTCCAATTCATCAAACATTGAGTACTTCTTAAGTGCCAATGCTTTTCTAAGAGTACCCCCATCCATGACTTTTGTCAGACAGTCTGCAAGCATGGCCTGACTACAGACCCAACGGAGTTTGCAATTCTCAGTCAATCTTTCCCTAATCAATAGACACTCCAGTGTTATCCGGAACTCTTCACACACCGGTGTTGATGTCTTTGTTGACAAATCGAAAACTGATTTGCAATCCGTTGCAATTGATGCCAGCGGAGACTCTTTGAGCACTTCGGTGGGATTGGTCCAGTCAATGCTTGGGTCCAGAAGCCATGACCAAAGCAAACGCAACCAACTCAGCCTATCCAAGGTACTACTAAGTGCTGATGCCTCAGCACTGAGTGTACTTCTTATGACACGAGGGATTTTCCGGCTGGACCAAGCTATTGGACAAATCACTGCCAATTTGTTCTCGGCCATTCGAGAATCTGTCGTGAAAATGATGGTACCCTGTCGCGAGGCCGTTCCTTTCTTTGTCTCAAAGGAAGCATCAGAAAAGGCACAAAATGAAACCTGACTCTCAGGTATTGGAACAATGACAAGGTTTACATGATTTTTCTTGGCCTCGAACAGAGTGCGATTCGCATCGAGGAGATCCTCTATGCATGCTTTTGGAATCAGTGATTGGAGAATACCCACCTTGGCGCTTATGTCAGGCCTGGTTTGGACCGCAGCGTATTGAAGAGAGCCACACAGCTGGCGGAAGACTTGTCTTTCCGTTTCTGTCACTGGTGACTAAGGCTCCTTTCTACGATGTCGACAGACTTGGATCGGGTCTATTCTTTCGATATACTTCTTTTGACACATCTCAATACTTCCATCCCTCCATTGACGATAGTGGATACCACAGAAGTCAAATTCCCCAGTATTAAATGCCCCAAACGAGTATTTTCCCCGCAACCGCTCTATGACACTCATGAAGTAGTCATCTCCGCCCCCGATCCCGTCGTCCACATGTATGCCTAACACACCACGCACCCAAGGTCGGCCTTGTGAGTCTTGTGTCACAAGCGAGAAGACGCAGCCATCCAGTGGACAAACCATGAACCCCAAACTTTCCAGGGTCTCCCTAAATGATTGATACCAAAGATAGGGTGCATCGATACGCCCATAGGCTCCCCCTTCCAAACCGCACTGGTCCATGGCTGTCATTTTCAGGGCTGCTGCAATCTCAGGTGGTGGGTGTATCCCAAGTGGTCTCCCGTCCCCGGCTCCTTTCAGAAAAGCTGTTGAAACATCAAAATTAATCAAAGTCCAGCCACAGCTGGCAACCTTCTGCAAAACCAACTGCTTTCCATCCTTGCTCAACGTTGGAGCATCGTTCGGGACTGAGGATATGTCTGGGTCTTCAAATCCCAGAATCACCAGTCGTGCCTTGGCACGTTTTTCTACCGTGCCTGGCAACGGATCTTTCCAGGTCAAAATCCACCTGCACCGCATGATTCGATTTTCGGGTAAAGCCCCTTTTGCTAGTTTTCTTACAGTTCCATGGTCAATCCAAGCCTGTACCTCCTTCGCCTTTGCCTTTCGAAACAACTCCCTCTCAGCTTGGTCTAATGTTTTCCATTGGACTTCAACCCTTTGTTTCTTTGCGGTGGTGGCTACAAGAATGCATTCAGCCAAGTTGCCATCTACCACACCCTCTTCGAGAGGCATCTCAGGAGACTCCATTAAAGTGATTTCCCATACCCCAGAAGTTGTTGGTGGTCCCTCAAAATCATCCCCGAAAACAGCAAGTGAGTCATCGTTCTCATCATCGGACATTGGTACTGGAACTCCGAGACCCCCTAAATCCCCACTTATAGGTACACCATCTGGATTGTTTACTTCGGGGTCTCCCATTTCGGGGTTTCCACCCAACTGACTTTCCGGGGGAGAAGCTTCATCTTCGGGTTGTTCGCTATCTAGATCAATGATGGGAGTTGGGGCAAGAGAGGGCTCATATTCATCATCACCTTCATTGGAACCAACAGTTGGAGGAAATTCATCCAGCTCTACATAGTTCCGAGTCCTAGTGGATACCCGTTCATCCCTTACATGACCATGCTCATCCCTAGGTAACGCATGATACTCTCTCATGGATGCAGGCCTCAAGTGTTGGGGACTGGCACGAATCAGGTATCCCCCATGACTCAACCACACAACTCGGGCTTTCTCAATGGTGATGACCTGAGCCGGACCATACCAGCGGCCTCTCTCATGTCTTATGTTGCCCCTTACCCTCTTCCAGTAGAGGACCCAGTCTCCCGCTTCAAATTCGACCGCTCCTGGTCGACTCCTCCGGAGGAGCGCACGCCGGCAAGAGCTGTCATTGTCCGCCCTGATGAAGGCTCGCCTTGCCTGCTCCCTACGCTCTAGACTAGCTCTGAAGCGCATTCCCTCTGGGGTTGAGCTCTCAGCCAAGAGGTGAGCTCCTGCCTGGGAGTCGGCGGTCAGCGAAGCCGGCAGAGCTCGGGCTTTGCCCAGAAGCCTTTGGCTCTTGACAGGGAATTCTTTGCAGAAAAAGCTTGCCTCAAACACTGCTTAAACTCTTCCCCATCCTTTATTGGGTTTTCCTGGTCCATACGAGTCAACATATCCTTGATGATCCTACCATGTATCTCAGCCCTGCCAATTTGCCAGTGGCTTTCCCCGGCAGCCATGACTACCTGGATGTTTTCTTGCTGCAACCGATCAATCCATTTGGGGTTTACATACTCTCCAGCAGGATCAAGATACAAAGTTTTGCACGGACCAGCCCAATGCAGCCAAACATCCTCAAACACCCTAATCTGCTCTTCAACAGTTCTGCCGCTTGGTGCACCAAGATGGAAAAGGGTGCCCTCATCGATAAAATGCATAAAGTGGAATGTTTGTCCCATCTTTGACTTCCAGTAAGCCCCATCAGCCCCTACTACGTCGTTGAAATCCAAATCATCATGAATCGATGAAGGGTGAGGCAACTTTGGTTTCTTCTGGGTTTCAAGACAAACATCACACTGCATATCTAGAGCACCTTGCACCACAGTTGGCTCGGCACCCTGTTCGAGAAGGAGACGCTGCAGTCTCGCTGGATCTGGATGGCCCAAATTACGATGCAATCGGACCAAATCGGTTCTCTGCTGTGCACCAAGTGCTCTAAAAGCGGGCCCATGCCTTGGAACAATTTTCGGGGCCCATCCAGGAACCAACGCTTCTGCTTCGGGCTGGCTTTCTTCTACTGTTTTCTGTTGAGAATTGGCCAGAATCGTCATTGAACTTGGAACAGAGGATCCCTCTTGTTGGGTGATAGGCGCATGCATCTCAACATCAGGCATTTCTTGAGATTCCACAACAGGTCCATCCAAAAGACACCTTTTCCCAAAAACACTAATGGAAATCTTTGCAGGGACTGCCTTTCTCACCTGTTTGGCCTTTGAGAGTTGCTGCCATTCTTCAAAATCACCCAAATCTTGGACCTCACCGCTTTGCCGATGGACAACCACAGTTTTACGAAGGGGGATATCATCCCGAATGATGTCATTCTTTGGAACTCGGTACCTTTCGGTGCCCCGACACAAGAGGACAAATTGGATGTTGATTTGTGGATATTGCTCTTGAAGTTGAACAACCCGGGGGTCATCCCTCCAAAAGTATGCCGCACCAACCCTTGGAACATCCCTCTCAAAACTGGTGATTACCCCTTTCCAATCCACCACATGAGCTCCAGTTGAAGAATCTTCATCCATGTCCTCAGGGAACGGAGGACTCTTTGTCCCATGTCGCCGCCGACACCGCCGCATTTCCAAAACTTCTTGTGCCACTGGTCGCTTGGTCCCCTTTGAAAGTTCTTCTCCAACCAACAATTCTTCGAGGATTAAAGGTTTTTCTCCCATCCCCAAACTCTTGATAATGCCCTGGACCACTTTTCGTGCAAAAACCGCAGTATAGGCAGCAGCATAGGCAGATACTTTCACCCAAGGTTCACCTGGTGCCTTTACACTCCCTTTGATCTGCTGATGTTCATGATCCCTAGGACATCGTTGATTGTGAAGCAGTCCATGAACTATCCTACTTGTGGTAAGGACTTGACTTTGTTTCCTCAAAAATTTGTCTGTGTAGGGACCCCGGAGTTTACCAGCTTGGCACATGTCGAAGTATGCGGGAAGGGTACCTGTATGGACATCATACAACTGCGGTTGCTTAATCATGTCTGACCCTCTGGGTTGCTCCAAGTGAAAGTGACGTCCATTTGAGACCTGGAAAAGATAAAGTTGGTTACACAATTCTAAATGGCAAATGTCACCTTGCCTACCTTGCATGATCATGTTTCTGGTGGTAACACTTCGACCCATGTTGAACTTTGAGAAGGATCCCCAAAACTTACACTCAGGTGCAACCCATATGTGTTCGGGTTCATACATCATTACCCAAGACCAGAGTTTGTTGATCCCTTCTGGGGTTGTCAGATCACCATGCAAACGTGTAAACCGAAGTGCAATCCCTCCCATTCTTTTCATTTGTTGTGTCAGTTGGGACTCCTTTTCACAGTATACTTCTAAGAGAACAACAGGCCGACTCTGGTTAGTGGGCTTTTGGGGTTCCAAGACATTGGCCTTTTGCCTGATTTGATTAAAGTCTCTCTCGATCACCCCAACGAATTGATCAATCTGGGCCTGCAGCCCTTGAACTTGAGCCTCACTCAGAAGTGCTGGTGCACGTTTCAGATGTCCTCTTCCTCCGGAATCTGTGTCTCTCGCGCCAGCTCCCTCTGAAGGAGGGCAATCTGTGTCTGGATCTGTTGCACTCGCTCGGCATTCTGGTCCACGGTCATCTTGGTCTTGTTGGGCTGCTCCCAATCGGATGTGGTCCGCTTGGATGCCTGAGTCTTCTTGGCATTGGCGGACGATGCTCCTGTCTTGGTGATCACTTCCCACCCTTTTTCGGTCTTTCCCTGAGGTGCCGAAGGTCGAGTGGTTGTCGGTGACTTCGATGACTGCCCCGATCCTGCCGATGATGGCAGAATGGGAATCTGATTCAGTGTTTCGTACTTCTGCCGGACAATCACGTAGTTCTGTAGATTCCTCAGCCACGGTGACACCGCTTTGCGGTTTCGGATCTGGAAGATGTAACAGGGATGATTGTTGTACACCTCCGCAAAGGTCTGTCCCTGTTGAACTCCCGAGGGGATCTTGGTCTCGCCCCACTGCTGCAGATTCGTAATCCCTGGTGGGACTTTGTACTGCCGATCGGGTGCATCCATGTACACTCGATCTGATTTGAGACCTGGGTCTTCGTCCCCTGACAGATCCTGTACCAGATATGAGGACTTCGTCTCCTTTGAGCTTCCCATTGCTTTGCACACTCTGGTCGGTCGGAGATGGTGTAGATGGCAGCTCAACTTGAGCCTGTACTTTTGCAGAAATCGCGGTGTGACATGACTCTACGTGAGGTGAATCCTGTACAATGAATTGAGATTGAGTGGACATGCATGTTCGAGGTGGGATATTGGACCGTTCCCCTTTTTCATTTGTCATGTCTCCCTTTTCCTTGTGATTAACCTCTTGTTGATAAATCTCTTCTACATGTTTCCAATCAGTCTCATTACTTGGTATGTTCAGCAAATCAACGACCCCAACGCAAAGCAGATTTTTCCTACAAGTTTTGAGGGCAACTGTTTTGGAATTTCCCAGGAATCTCAATACCTTGTTTCGGGGATCAATCATGACTCCAAGTTCCTTCATGATTGCATTAGATACCAAGAACGGGGTGCGACCCTGCACAACTTCCACTCGGATCCAGCCCTTTTGGCGCCGTGGAATGCACAGTGCGTACATGCTCCGAAGGGTGCCACTGTTGCCGAATCGAAAATTGACCGATGAAACCATCTTCTTAATGGGGGTTCTAACGTTCCCAGACAAAGCTTCTAAAAGGCCCTGGACCCTTTCACTGCCAATCACTGACCTACTGGCACCAGTATCTATGACGGCTTCTCCGGCACACTCTTCAGACATTAAAATCACGGCTGGAGAAAACAGGCTGGTGTCTTCGGAGTCTTCTGGCTCTGAAGTTCGAGTGGGCTCTGCGGTCGGTGCCAACTTCACGGCATGTCCATGCTTCCTACAGCATTTTGATAAAGCACTTTGAAGCAACCCCTTGAAAACTTGATTGGTGGACTTAAACTTCGTCAAGGTACCTGTTGATACTGCCAAACCATTTGATTTTGACCCCTCAAAATTTTGAACATCACCGTCAATCATGAAACAGTCTTCAACTTCACAAACCCCTGAGGCATCATGAGGTGTCAAAATCCCTGAGTTTTGGCCTAACGTGCCTAAGTCCTCGGCAGATTCTGGGAGCTCGTCGATCAACTCCATGGCAGGCATCTGATCCTCGTGATCTTCGGGATGGGCAAAGAGCGCCTCTGCGATGGAGATGGTCTCCGTGGTGCCCTTGCCCTTGCCTTCCCCCTTGGTGAGGTTGAGGGGGCACTCACGCTTCCAATGCCCAACTTGTCCACATTTCCTGCAGGCTGATGAGGCAATTCGATCTGCTAAAGATCGGAACTTGGTGCCCTTGGACCCCATCTTTCCTTTCTTCCCCTTGCCCTTGCTGGCACCTGGACCACTCATCGGCCAGAAGCCCCTGATTCGTGCTCGTTCCCTGAGTCTTGTTCTGGCCTCAAGGTACGTTGCATAACAGCTTGCAAGCTCGGGAGACTCCTGAGCAACTTCGATGAGCGTCTCCTCAAAGTCATTGATGAAGATTGCATCCTCATCTCCCTCATCATACATGACTTGGAAGACGGTGTCCTCATCGCGGCCATCGTTCTCCGAGAGGACCATTGCTGTCTCTTCTGATGCACCATCGGTGATGTTGATGTCATAGGTCTTTTTGTTCGGCTTCACCCCTTGGAGCTCCTGGAAGAATTTGGCTCCCAACAGTCGAAGGGCTTTCCGAGCATTTTCGTAGGAGAGGTCACCCTTGTTCTCCAGGATGATGCGTTTGCGGTCCTCAGAGCTCAGCTGTGACTGTCGCAGCAACACGTAGGCTCGAATCTCCTCCATGGGCACCTTATGAGATGCAAGGTCTTCGAATGCCACATCGTGGCGTGCCAGATAGCTGTCATTCGTTTCATCACTTCGCTGGATTGTCTGATAGATCGCCTTCTCGAAGTAGGCCAGCTTCTCTTCACTAGCTAATTTGCCCCACTGGACGCCCAAAGCCTCTACCAGGTATTGGACTCCCCCTTCACTCCGCAAAGTCTGAGGGTCAAGGCGAGCCACTTTCTGAAAGGCCACCCCTTCCACCTGCAAGGCCGCTCTGGGTGCCAATTGCGACACATGTTCTGGTGGCCAAATGGCCTTCAGAAACTGCAGTTTCCTGCTGTACACCTGAATGTCTGTCTCCTGCGGATTGAAGGAGGGGATCTGCTGCCACGGCAACTGGCTCGCGGGAAGGCTGCTAGTTCCCGCTGCTTCCGCAGGTATGGCCGATCTGGCCGGTTCGGCACCGTTTCCGGTTCCATCCATGGCTCACGTGGTCAGTGTTTGACCTCCTTTAGGCTGGTGCAGTTTGTTGGACTTGCAATGTTTTGAATTTGAGAGAGGTCCTAGGAACCCTGATGCACAAAACCCCTATTTAAGGCACCCTGCCTACCTTAGGGAATTTGGAGCTTTACCTGCGGCAGCTTGAGCTCCGCTACCAATGAGAATTCAATAGGGGATATCAGCCCTACACCTAGACACCCTGTCTATCCGCAAGCCAGTCTGTTTCCTTTTCCACTCAAAGTCCCGATCCCACCCACCTCGACCTAGAGCCATGCATGTGGCACGGCAAGACCGGCGAGTTGAGGTTGCATGTCATGCATGAGTCCAATGGTGTCCACAGGTGTCCCAAGAAGTCAGCACTGATGAAATGGATGATCTCATGTGGTCAAAATCACAATGTATATATATATATATATATAAATATTATTTATGTATATATATATATATCATCTAGGCGGCTTTACCCTTGCGGTCCCCACCTCCAACTGACTCGGAGTCCCCGTTGCGCCACTGTAGGAACTACCCCTGCGTGTTTCAGCTACCGGCCTCCAGCAAACAGCTGGAAGCCTGCAGGACCGGCGGTTACATCCTGCGAAATGTGGGTTTTGTGCTCTTGAAATCTTGGGGCCGACACCTTTTTACTGTGGGGTTGAACATATATATTTCACTGGGTTGGTTTAGTTGGGAACTCTACAGCTGAAACCAGTTTTTCTTTAAAAAATCAGATAATATAGGTGGTTTCCTATATAGTATTATTTTCCCTTAAACCAATCCAATGAATATTCTAAACAAATAATGTCCAATTTCCAGGTTTCCAATATTTATAGTTTCCAATTGGCTGTTTCCAATTTCCAAACTTCATGTGTTTCCAATTTTCCTAACTAGACCATGGCACGCTAATACTCACCAATCATTATATATCCCATCTCATCATTTATTGAGTTTGCCCCACTGCAACGATCGAATCCATGCCACTACTTAGATGGGCCATGGAGTTAGGGAAAACTAGTTGGTAGCCATGGATTATGTCATTGGGTTTTTTTGAGAATTAGCTAATCCCCAAAAAACTAACCAGGAATCGTCATTTTTTCCCATGGCCCATCTAAGTAGGGTTAGTTTATTCCGAGAGATTGTCGTGAGTTCGGAATTCTGATGACCATCCAGCTATATCCCAGGCACCACACCAGTCAATGGCCATTTCAGGAACCTAAATTGGAGGTACCTACCATATATAAGGCCTATTTTTTAGGCCTAAATTTCAGCGAATATCCCCAGAAAATATGGCCTAAAATATATGGTAGGTTTACGTACCTCCATCTGTTGGATCCTGAAATTCCCATTGCCACAGGTTTTCTATATCTTCATATCTATATACATACATTATTGATACTGTTTCACCATATCCTCCATATCTCAATTCAATGGCCATTTCAGGATCCTAAATTGGAGGTACCTACCATATATAAGGCCTATGTAAGGCCTATGTAAGGGAATATCCCCACAAAATATGGCCTTATACGGTACAGTACCTCCAATTTAGGATCCTGGAATTTCCATATCTCAATGGGAACCGAAATCCTCCACCAGGACCTTTGGTGAGGCGGCCAACATGTTGCTGTGCCACCGGGATTCCATGATGCCGCTGGGGATTTTCCGCTATCCCAAGGCGGGGCTGGGGCCCGGCTGGGACGCAAACTCAGAATGATACCCCGGTAACCATGTTTACAATACCCTCTGGTAAACATTTACATAACTATGGAAAATCACCATTTTCAATGGGTAAATCCACTATTTCTATGGCCATTTTCAATAGCTATGTTAGTTTACCAGAGGGTACATGTTTGTCTATCGATCGATCTATATCTATCTAATTAATTCGAATTACACGAATACATACACAGTTATTTTTGGTTATATTATAACTGAGTTATTTCACTGGCGTAGCATTTTGTTTCCACCTCTTTTTGGTGAGCGTCATCACCAACCAACTGAACGAAGGGTTTTGTTTCCGATGTCATCCATGTACCCTCTGGTAACTTGATACATAGCTGTAGGAAAATCACCATTATTAATATAGGTACTTCATCATTTTTATCATCTATAGCCATTTTCCATAGCTATGTTAGATAACCAAAGGGAGTGTTTTTTTGTTGCCTGCATTTATCCCAAGAAGCATCCAGCCATATCAGGGTTGTTCTATCCATGACTGGTTTTGATTCAAAGATGTCCGAGATATTCAATGTTTGTTCATCAACAAAATCAGTAGTTTCATGCAAATGATCTCGCAAACCAACCCATCCATGCATTGAACATATAGGTCATATACATTATATTATATATATATATTTGTATGATTATGTATGTATATATAAATATGTACAAATATATATATATATATATATACGCATATATATATATATGTATGGATGATAGAAGATTACAGTTGAACTATAATTGATGTGTCAGTCTAGATGATTATAGGCTGACAGGTTTTCATCTAGATCTGATGCCTCAGTGGGCGCTGGGCAACCACTCGCACGGCCCAGGGCAACCGTTCGTCCTATTCCATGCTGGTCAGTACAGACCTCGGGCAACCGATGCAACTGATGACAGCTGTTTTTTTTCATTCAGCAATGGGAACCTATCTATACTTAGTGTGTATATATATATAATGTCAGTGTAATATATAATGATATATGTATATAATGCATAATAACTGATATATGATATAATATATTATAGTCTAGTATATGACAGTATGACCTATACAATATATGTATACAAGAAGTGTAGACATATTATACACAGGTGTCACTGTTTCCTTCACACTCACAAGTATGGTGATATAACATAGAGCCCAAAGCGCCAGTTGTGACCTTGTTTTGTTGCAGGTTTTGACTTTGACCATAAACACGGATGATTGAATATGAAACATAGGTGTCACTTGGAACTTGGGTTCCAGGCTTTAGTTGTCATTATTTATATATATATACATACATACATACATATTGTATATATATATATATACCCCTTATATACACACGTACCGAGAGAGAAAGAGGGCTTACATGGTGATGATTATATTCTGTGATGATGATATTATCAACAATTTTAGCTTTATTGGAGTTAGTAAGTACTTGGAAATATCCAATCTGCAAACGTGCTGATACAGTTAAGATTGTGTCTATGGGACAACTGTTCAGAACATGTCAAACATTCAAATAGTCATGGCTGTTTTGGAATTGTGAAGAATGGGAGGGAAACGAAGCTCATCAAACTACCAACACATCCACCATGATATCTGCCAAAATGGACCTTTATATATATATATATAGATATAGATATAGATATGTACGTATATATATATATACACATATATATCATTATTGTCATCATCCTCATATTTTCATATTAACATTTTTGTGATTCCAGTATCACTGTCTTCTAGATGCACCTTCATCCTCTACGGCTCCAGATCGCCATGGCCACCTCCATGGCTCCAGATCGCCACGCCACCTGCGCTGTCCAGGCCTGGAGGCTGCGCAGGAATTGGATTTTCGATGTCCGCAGTACGGCTTCAGCCAGTCCTTCTGCGCCGTGCAAGGATGACATGGAAAAATCCGGGTGAAGTGCTGGGATTTTATGGTGATATGACGATTCAATGGGATTGAACGGGGTCACTTGGGTCATGGTTCACATAGAAGCAACCACAGTAATCATAGTACTCAGGATTTTGGTTAACAGTCTGGACAAGCATGGTAATGGTTGACTTTTAGTAATCATAGTAATCAGTACCCTCTGGTAATTCAACATAGCTATTGAACATGACCATTTATAGTGGATTTTCCCATTAAAAATTGTGATTTTCCATTGTTATGTTAGTTTACCAGAGGGTAATCAGTAATCATGGTTGACATAGCGGTGCCGTGCCGTTCCCTCCTTCGTGCCAGCGATGCCCCAGGAGAGCATGGCATGTCGAACCGCCTTCCCTTTGTGATCACCAACCCGCCCAAGGACGGCCCAGAGCTATGATGTTGCCAAAGCCCAGTTTTGAAGTCGATATCCAAATCCAAACTCATAAGTATGGTGTATATTATAATATATTATATATTATAATATTATATTTATATAATATTGTATATATACATACACATGTTCTCTTGCTCTAAGAAAAACAACAACACAATTATCCTTGTTACAATCGTTCATCACAAGCCCTCCAGTTACAAGTTGGAATAGAAGCCACATTGACGATTAAATATATCATGATATATCCACCTTGCAATAAATTCCGTATTGTATGATCATTGTATTCCTAGAACATGTTTGCTTAATCTTGGTTATGTACCCTGTGCTCCCATTACACCTCTATTTCACATATACATTCAGAGAGTTACAAAACATATTAAATAACACGATCCCACAAAAAAAAACCACTAGATCCCAGGCAAAATCTCCATTCATGGTGAAATCTTATGGAATCACCGGTTTTCATGGTGAAATCACCATGGTTTTTGCCAACCTTCCGAAGGGGGCACCGGGCAACGCTAGGATCTGGCGCTCCTGGAATCTGATCTGATCTTCGTGCTGGGCCGGCCGCAGCATCTCAACGGCGAAGCAGGCGGGGCGGAGCGGGGAGACGCGGGAAAATATGGTGATTTGACTGGGGAAACATTGGGGATGCATGGGGATTTCATGGGAATCTTATGATTTCATGGTGATTTAACCAAGGAAATGGTGATTTCAGGGGATTTAACCAACCACCATTGTGATTTTTGCATGATTTTTGCATATTTTTGCTCCGGCTTTATTGGATTTGACCAGGAATGTCATGACTGAGCGAGTGTGATGGGATTGGAACATAAGATGGAGATCCCATCAAATTGGAACATGGAGATCCCATAAATACTACCCATATTGGAACATAAAATCAAGCATAATTGGTGGAGTCCGACGGGATCAGAATAGATGCTACAAATTTTCGGATCTTCCAGATTTATCTGGTTGGTGGTTTGGAACATGAACTTTATTTTTCCATTTCATATATGGGATATTATGGGATGTCATCCTTCCCATTGACGAACTCATATTTTTCAGAGGGGTGGCTCAACCACCAACCAGCCAAGCATAATTATCAAATTGGGATTTTGTTGGTGAGAAACAATGAACAATGAACAATGGACATTTAAAACAATGAACAATACCAGCCAAGTATTTTTTTAAACAATGAACAGCTGGTGATTTTGCTGCGAGACATTTTTAGGATTGAGCAGACAAACATCGAGAAAAAACAACGTGATTTCATTGGATTGAAATGACAAACATGTGGCTATGAAACTAGTTCATTTATTTTATATATAGATATATGATATTATATGATGATATATGATATATTTAGATATATGATATAGTAGATATAGACTATAGATGTTATAGATGTATTTATGGGACATACTGTAATTAATGAGATATATCACCAACAGTATGCGATGGGTTTGCCCAGGTGCTGCCGAGGTTGAGGGTAGTGAGGATGAGGCGAGCGATCGCAGCGAAAGCGACCTGGAGGAGAGCGAAGGGTAGGGAAGAACCATGGGATTCACCATGGAAAATCCTTCAACCATAGGAGTTTAAGCTAGTTGTTTACCATGAAAAAATCAAGTTTAGCATAGTGTGACCTATTGTGAAAAATATTGTTGACCATGTAAGATGCTAGTATTGAACCAAGTGAAGATGGATATATTTACTATACATATTCTTTTGTAACGTTATAAAATAAATAAATAAATAATACGTTTATTAACAAGCAAGGGGATGAACCTTGGAGTATTGCATTCATCCATTCGCAGTGATTTCTGGGGCGTCAATTGATGTGAGGATCATCCCACCTAATGATCACCAGGGTTAGTTCATCCATTGATGAGATGAACTATCATCAACTATCATCAACCATGATAAACTGGATGATAGTTGATGATAGTCGATCATAGTTACCCTCTGGTGAACTAACATAGCAATGGAAAATGGCTGTTTATAGTGGATTTTCCCATTAAGAATGGTGATTTTCCATTGCTATGTTAGTTCACCAGAGGGTAACTATGGTAAATCAACTATGATTAACTACTGAATGGTGACCTTCTCAGCATCGCAGGAGGTCGTCTCCTCGCTCTGATGGGAGCGGTCTTGATTCTCAGCCAATGTAGCTTGAAGCTGGAATAATATCATACAAACCCTTTGTTACCTTCTTCATTTGATAGGTTCTTTGCAGAATGCACTGCAATAATATCTAAAATTCGCAGAAATAGGCCAAAGAAGGGATCAAATGGTGACCTACACAAAGGGTTTCTAAGATACTAGCTGACAAATCCCCTATAAATGGCAGGGAAATCTTCTATCAACGGAGGTTTTCCATGGGGGAAAATCATCTATAATCGATAAATGTAGCTTGAACTACTCAGCTTGAACTTATCAACTATCATCTTGTACGATGGTAAGCTATGATTTCTACTACTCTACAACTGGATATTCTATTGATATTCTTCAGCCAATGATGATACTGATATTAGTAGAGTAGTTCTTCACAGTCTGAAAGTCTGTGACTGTGAACGCGAACTGAACAGATCGACGTGCTCGCTCATAGACTCTATGCCAAAGCGACATACACCAAGAACTGCTGCTGCAAACAAATCTGACAGACATGTCTAAACTGAATCACATATTGATAGTATATAGTCACATTGAATCCATAGATATATGAATGTATATGTATATCTGTACGTTGCTATCACATAGTATGTAATCATGACATCCATGCATGTGTATGTGGGATACAAGATTGGAGACTGGCACCCATCCTTTACTTACAAACAACATGGTTTTGTGTCTTTCCAAACGCTTCTAATACGATTCCTCATCGGTGGTGCCAGCTGCGGGTTGAAGGGATCATGATCATCTCAATCTGCTACAGCCAACGATGAACCCTAAATTAGCTATGCTATGGTTGATATAATGACTCCCAACTGGTTAAGTCGTTCGGTACTCCTGTAACCACCCGGGATATACCATGGAACATTTGGTTTTATGCTTTGAAGCTATCGATCTGTGCCATCTTTTCGCTTCGAAACTCCATCAAAGGTGGGGTCTCAACTTAGACCGTGACGACTGTGTCATGGAGTAACTTCGCCGGTGGTGCATCCATCGCTGCCCAGCTGTGCCAATCGTTTTGGATGATGACTAGTAGGGGGTTTCACACTACTATCCACTTTTAGCAGATTTCCACGTATAAAAAACACATGTGTATATATATACACACTTATTATTATCATTATTGTTATTGTTATCATTATTATTGTATATATATATTTTATTTATAGATACATACTATATATATATATTCCCTACCGAAGATCCGCCCTTTGCATCCCAATGCTGGGCTTTCCCATTGAGGGTGGTCCATGGCGATATAATTTGCTGCAGCTGGAGACCACTCGCTGGGCTCAAAGTTGGCCTGGCAGAACTTGCCGCGCGGCGTGAACTTCGCCATGCGAATGAAATGGAGCCATGCAGTTAAAGCCCTGGAGCCACCTATAAATGTTTGAATGGTATAAACTGGGATATCATTCCATAAATGGGATTGTCATTTTGGAATATTATGAATAAACATATAATATAATTATTAAAAATTACTTAACTTATATATAGAAAATTGGTTATAAATGGGATTATCATTCCATAGATGGAGTAATAACTGACTCCAAAAATTGGTTTATTGCGGGCCGTAACTGTGGGAGTTCGGATTGTTCGCACCGTTTATGAAACCCAACACACCCAGATCCACCAAATGTGGATTGTTGTTTTATGGTCATTGCATGTCATTGCCTAAGATTCAACATGTCCAACCACATTCGACTTTAACCCTATAGTATGTGTGTTTTCTATTGCTGCTTAAGATTATGTTCCTCAATCGACTAGTATGTTTTCAAGGGAGCGACATCCCACCAACCAGGTTGTAAAGGAAAGTTTGGGGGGTTCGACAACCTTCGCAGAAGGTGTGGGTGTTGGAAAATCTGGGATAAAAGAATGTTGCTTGATATATCATGTATCTCATTATATCCCATTTTCTCCATATAACAGACGTAACGTATGGTATATTTATATACCTACATTTGGAATCATTTGGATACATTTGGCAATTTGCAGAGATAAATAGAGTTGAATATGCCATAGATGGAGCATGTGGGTATCTCCATGATGGGTGGTTTTATATATTCCCCTCTTTTGGTGCAGGGGCCCGATACCAGCAGAGCCTTCCTGTGCAGGTAAGTCCTACGGAGATCGAGATGGTGAGCTCCCACCCTGGGTTGCAGGGGTAGATCCCAATGCCAACATGTTGAGTACAATGTGAGGCCCCCTAGATATATAGCTAAGTTGCCTTAAAAGTGGCTGAAATCTATGGTTTATAGTAAATATAACTATAGTTATATAATCGGGTTTATAAACCATCTTATACCAACTTATAACTGGGGGGGGCCACATTGTAGGACACGATGGGACTTAGAGACTTAGAGGTTGATTTAGCGAGAATGTATATTTGGTCATCTATCTACATGACCTGACTATGATTGAATATGTACCTAGTATCATCATTATCATCTTCATCTACATGATATATTGCTGATCCATGGCTTGAGACTGGATTGCGATTGCGGCCCACAATGAATACGTGTTTTTTTTGAGTCCTGGGTGAGTCTGGAAATGGGACCCCCCCCCCCAAATCCCCATAAATCCCCATGATTATATAGTGATGAAATCTCATTTTTACTTTACTAAACTGTCGATGGCAAACTGGTGTCTATATATATATACACATATGTACATATATATATATACACATATACATATACATATACATACATATATATATATATATATCCATGTGTAAAACCAAGCCTCGGTTTCAGACACACCGATATTGTTGATATAGATGTAGTGCGTTTCCAAAGCGCATGCGATAAGAAACTTTTCGATAGCCAGGGATAACATGCTTGGCATTCCTAGTCTCAAACATGGTTTACCATCCCTTATTAATGGGAAGGTCACTCTTACGTGGACATATATATATATATAACTATAATTGTATGTGTGTATAATATATATATAAACACATATATATATATTATATATATATACATGTATACATGTATAAATGGACTACGGTTTTATTTCGAGGTTAACACCATATGACACTTTAGCTCAGACTGCCGGATGAATCAGCCCTGATATGCCTGGATGATGCAGGTCCATTTCATGAGGCCAACTAATGGGAAAACAAATGGGATAGATACACCACACTAAGACACACAAAGTGATGTGATGTGATGAGAAGCCACTTAAGAAATGCATGCTAGAACTCACGGCACCAGGATTCACATGAGCGTTTCCTTCGAAATTGTTGCGTCACCAAACAATACACCCCTGAACTTTGACATAACCCATCTCCCTCACAAAGGTATCGCCCTGTTTTGTCAATGCAGTTGCTGGGTTGAAACACCCCATCACATATCTTGTCAAGTGGTGACAGAAAGCCCGGGGCTCAGTTTTCATCGTCGAACCATTTGCGGCGCGCCATGGGTTACGTCCAATGTGGCTATGTTTTGCTGGTTTCTGCGGCAGAAAGCCATTGCAAGGTGCCGACCGATGTTGTGGTCATTGTATTTATCCCATAATATGTATGGCGGGGTACATGTACCAACATGACTGGCCATTTGTAGAGGTAAAGGCCAGTAACCGTGGAGCATATGGGTCCATATGGGTATAGCAATCCCTGAAAAGATAGGAATTGGTTGAAACATATATCATATATCGTATATCATATATATCAAAAAAGAGGTGAATGATGATTCTCCGTACTGTCTTGGGGTTATAATAGTATTTAGCTATTCCCAACATGAAAGTCCCAGGTGGTTGCCCTATATGAGGATCTTCGACCTTCAGATTTTTTGGGTGGAGGAGTGAGAGGCTATTTGCGATCAGCACAGTGAATCTTTGATTAGACACGTGAGGATCGGTGAATGCCTATGATACTATCTTTGTAGAGAGGAACATGCATAACAACTTTGGAAACAGAAATGATGCATTCCAACAAATCCTCGGAACATCAACAACATACACTTCAAAATCCCAAGTCTGAATGGTGAAATTTCAAGACAATTCCCATGTTTAGTTGATCAAATTCTACTAAATCCCCATATTCCGTTACTTAAATCCCATGAAATCCAATTAAATCACCATGTTTCATAGGTTCAACCAGCCCTTTACGTTGCGGCTCCAGGCCCATGTTGAAGCCTTTGAACTCCGGCTCCGCACGTCGCTGTTGGAAGAGTTCCGCACGAGGTCGGCGTCCAGTTCTGTGCATCCGACGGGCGGTGGTGCCCATAGTTTTTTTTTTGTGTGTGTGTGTTGGTTTTTAAGCCCCATAAATACTACATGTATTATATGATATACATATAATATATATATATATACGTATCATAAAGCCGAGTGAAATTGGAGTTATGTTCGCCGACTTAGCGATGCCAACAGTTTGGGGCACCACCAGGAATCAGTTCCGTTCACAGCTTCGTTTTTTGGGCTGGTTTTTGGGGTCTAAACACTTCAGGGTGTATTTGGAGCACTACCGAATGAGTGGAATATACCCTCTGGTTATTTGTTACATAGCTATGGTATAGATGGCCCATAGCAACAGATGAAAAAAAAAACAGCTGGACACCTCCATTTATGGTTTGGATTTTCCATAGCTATGTTAAATAACCAGGTTGCGGTGGGGATATCTCATGTATAACTGGATATTCGATGGTTCCTGCAGTAGGCAATCACAGTAGGATACAGTAGGCAATGTGTTTTGTTTGTCCGATGATGAAGAAGAACATGAAATGACCCGACTCAGTACGGATGAGTGGGACAGAATGTGGGATATGCCCCAACTGAATCCAATTGATACATGGCTTGATGATGAAATTGCTACCATCTGGTTATTTAACAGTTTGCCATGGAAAATCACCATGCTATTAATAGATAAACCATCTATAAATAGGCCATCTATACCATGGCTATGTTAAATTACCAGAGGGTGTATGTATATGCCCACCCCCCCCACCAGGGCCTATCTTTTTTCTATTTCATTGACTGCTTCCATTATAAGGGATTTTCCATGGCAAACTGTTACAATGTGG